TAGGGTTTGAAAAACGCCCTTTTCCAAAATAACTCGTTAACGGTAAGGAATATGAAAAAATGTTTTAAATGAAAGTTGTAGAGAATAAAAAACTGCACAAAACATGTCCTATTAATTTTTTCATTATCTGCTGTTGTTTAGTCACAAAACACAATTAAAATTTTACTGGACTACTTTGCATTGTATGTTTGAAGTTATTGTAATACTTATGCACTATGTAAGATTGTCATGACCTGCCTTTGGCACGTTCTTTCACGCGCGCATAGGAGTGCGTAGAATTTAGCGCGGGAAAATCAACGCGCGTATTTGTGAAAGATTGGATTTAACAATTTTTTTGTTCACTGATTTTATTTTTTTGAAGATTTATAAATTACTAGCTGTGTCCGCGTTCGTCCGCGTGAAATAGTGACCTTGCCCAAAAATATGAATAGATAAATAGATAATAATGAAAGCGAGACAATACCAGAAATATTAGTAAGTCCTCGAGTGGCGACCACGGACCGGAAGCGTGGGAAGGCCTCCAGCAAGGTGGACCGACGATCTGGTCAAGATCGCTGGAAGGCATTGGATGCGAGCAGCGCAGGACCGATCGTCGTGGAGGTCTTTGGGGGAGGCCTGTGTCCAGCAGTGGACGTGTTCCGGGCTGCGATGATGATGATGATTTATAAATCTACAATTCATTTTGATCGTAGTCAGACGTTCGCTATTCAATCTTTGCATTGTGTGTTTGAAGAAATTCTAATGCACTATGTAAGATTGTCATGTCAAAGGCAGGTTGCCTTTGACACGTTCTTTCACGTGCGCATAGGAGTGCGTAGAATTTAGCGCGGGAAAGACTTCGCGTGGAATTGAAGGAATGCATTTAACATTTTTTTTTTCACAGATTTTTTTTTTTTAATATTTATAAATTACTAGCTAGCGCGGGAAAGACAGCGCGTGGAATTGAAGGAATGCATTTAACATTTTTTTTTTCACTGATTTTTTTTTTTTTAATATTTATAAATTACTAGCTAGCGCGGGAAAGATAGCGAGTGGAATTGAAGGAATGCATTTAACATTTTTTTTTTCACTGATTTTATTTTTTTGAATATTTATAAATTACTAGCTAGCGCGGGAAAGATAGCGAGTGGAATTGAAGGAATGCATTTAACAATTTTTTTTTCACTGATTTTATTTTTTTTAATATTTATAAATTACTAGCTAGCGCGGGAAAGATAGCGAGTGGAATTGAAGGAATGCATTTAACATTTTTTTTTTCACTGATTTTATTTTTAGATACTTATTTAAGAGCAATGCACTATTTTTTTCTATTGTTTTTATTATTTAGATTATTAAATTATGAACAAATCTACAATTGTTTTCGCTTCGTAGTCAGACGTTCGCCATTTTGCAATGATAATCCACTGAAAATCGGTGTTTGACATTTACAGTCTAGACACAATGTTGAGTTGTAAACATTTTTATCTATATCTCTACATACAAATAAAATTGGAATGTCTGTTTGTAATATTGAAATAACCATTGTTTACTGCATAAATAACATTTTTTACAACTTTTGTCTGTCTGTCTGTTTGTTCCGGCTAATCTCTGAAATGGCTGGACCGATTTTGACGGGGCTTTTTTTGGCAGGTAGCTGATGTAATAAGGAGTAATTTAGGCTACTTTTATTTTAGAAAAATAAAGTTAAATTCCACGCGGACGAAGACGCTAAAGCACCCGATTGGAGAACGTGAAAGAGCGTACGAATTAAGGCAGTTATACTTAAATGTTAATTCGTAGCAAAATACTGGTTTATTTGCAGACTGAATTTGTGTTCTTTTGTATGTTGTCATATCAAGTTTAATACACGCAATGATATATACAGAGCTGTTTTATTTATTCACATTTTTAAGAGACCATAAATTTTCACCATCTGCTTGTAAACTGACTATGAAGCCGAGGAGGCAGCAGACTATGAAGCAGACCCTAAGGCAGGAGGCCTTACGGACGTAACCAATTCCCCTTCTATCTCCCATTTTCTATTCTGGGCAAATGCTTATATTAAAGAAAAAGTGACGACCTCAATGGTCTAGTTTAGCCGCTTTTCTTCCGATGGTCGCGGGTTCAATTCCTCGCAAGGTGCAATTTTTTTATATAAAAATTGTTGTTTTGATGTGTTTTCTATATACGTGTGTATTTGCAGAAAGTTTTTATATCAGTTATCTAGTAACCAATACAAGCTCTGTTTAGCGTGGCTAGACCAGAGGTTCCCAAACTTGTGTCGTAGACCCCTTGCCATATTTTTCGGTTTTGGGTAGACCCCCCATTTTTACCTGGTATTGATTTTTTGTAAATTTCTAACTAGTAAAGTTTAGTGTTAAAAACATAAAGTAAAAACAACGACCGCTGTCGTAATCGTAGTCAAATCCAGTTGCCACATTTTCCATTCAGTGGGCAATTTCGTACATGAATGGTCTTGGTGGTTTTGTTTAGCTGCTTTACTTCCGATGGTCGCGGGTTCAATTCCTCACATGGTGGAAATTTGTATTCATGAATATTGAGATTGCTGTTTCGATCTGGGTGTTTTCTATATATATTCTGTATGTATTTACAAAAAAAATATATATTTAAGTATTTATATCAGTTGTCTAGTACCTATAACACAAGTTCTGCTTAGCGTGGGACTAGATGGCGCTGTATGAATTGTCCATTGTCCAGGGTTAATATTATTATTATACTTCTTTAAGGTAAGGTAGCGAGCACAATAGATCTATGTAGGTCGCAGTGCTACAGGTGCTACACATCTGACAATAGCCCAAACAACCCAATAAAAAAAAAATAAGGTAAGGTAAGAAAAAAAAACCACAGTAAATCTATTAGTTAAGTTTATTACATACAAATTTAAGTTACATCATACGACTCCTACACGGTCTACCTTACACTAGAGCGAATAAAATCTCAAAGTCATTAACAAAAAGTTGATAAATCAAAACCGATCATAAATTAATATTAAAACAATATAATTAGTAATTTTATTTGGTTTTCTATATTGACATTATGTTTCATATGTACTATGGATTATACAATACTTATATTCTATGTATAACCTATAAATTATGTATCAAAAACTACACGTTTATATATATTATACGTTATAATGGTTACATTTTATTCTAAATTTACTTATATTATAGTGTATAAAGTATTAATAAGTGATTAAATATAATTATTACATTTATATAAAAGTTATATTAATTAATAAGACACGATTTAGCCCAAATGTGTCGCTTCTGGAGAGTTCCAGCCGGTCTACTATAAAAACTAATTCAATTCGTCATTTCGCGCCTTTTCTTAATCTTTTATTATACAATATATTTATTCTATATTTAGTCTTCAATGAAAGAACTAACTGTTAATATCAATTTATTGATTACACCTTTGTTACTTTTTTACATCACTGTGGTGTAGGTACATATATAAATAAAAAAGAAGGGAAGGTCATATATATTTTTATATATACTGTATTTTTTTCTTCTTTTATATACACTGCTTTGCTATCATTTCTATTTTATACTGTATTATAAAATATATATGTGTGTATCTATAGATGTGAATAGAGTGAATATTGTATCTATTTAGGTTTTATAAGCCACATGAGAATATGAGTTCTGGATACAGGAGAATAGGATGAAACCTATATTATATAATAACCACAATTGTGACTATATTCTGACAAATAAATACATATAAATAATTATTGTTCTTTATATATATATAAATTTAATATAACTCCTTTTAATGGGGTTATAGATTTGTCATTGCAGGTGACAATCACCAAACAACTCTATGATGATAATGAAGTTTTTTTAAACGGAAGACAAAAATTATTATACAAAATGTATAAAAACAAAATGCTAGAAAGCGTCAAAAACCAGCAAAAGCTGAGTTAACGAGACTAGCATAAATTTTTTTTATACATTTGTATTCTCAAATTTCTTCGGTGTTGTAGTTTAATATAATTATTAATAATAATATAAAATATACTGTTTGAAATCAACGTTAGAATTTATAGTAGACCCGCCGCTCATAATTGAAGCATGCTCTTACTAAGAAATAATTTTTTTTTGCTTACTCCATACCGTACAAGATTATTATCATGTAATATTATTACAATTCTTATTTGAAACAGATTCAAATACATTTGCGATTATGTATCGACTAACTGTCTCAGTTACCAGCACCTCAATATTTTTTTATGCTTCAAATATTCAAATAAGTGATATTTTTGTTGTTTGAGCGAATGTTAAAGTTTTAATTAACACTGGCAAACGTTGTTTTGCCATATAAATTAATAACACTATAAAAAAATAGGGGTAGGTGAAAATTTAGGGTTATATGTATTTTTCAATCCTAAATAATAAAAAAAACATAAAATATGTCGAAAAATTTTAAAAATATATACTTAGGATATCCACTTCCCACTTAGGGGTATGAAAAATAGATAGTAGCCGATGCTCAGATCTACTGAATATGCATATAAAATTTCATAATAATCCATTAACACGAGAATTTTATATATAAGATTATCACTTGCACAATTTGACCCACTCAACACTTCCTACGCCACGCTGTACTGGGTTGACTGGAAGAGATCTCTTTAGAGATAAGTCTACCTTTGTTAACATTATTCTTAATTAATATAATTATGACGACCTCGGTGGTCTAGCGGTCTAACACACCGCTTTACGTCCGATGGTCGCGGGTTCGATTCCTCGCACGGCACAAACATTTGTGTTCATGAGTACTATTGTTTGTATCGGTCTGGGTGTTTTCTATGTATATTATGTATGTATTTACGAAAAAAAAAATTATCTATGTATTTGTATCAGTTGTCTAGTACCCATAACACAAGCTTTAGCTGGCTTAACTTGGGTCTAGATGGCGCTGTGTGAATTGTCCTGAGATTATTATTATTATTATTATTATAAAATGTATTTAAGTGGAATAAAGAATATTTAAAAGTTTTTTTCATTTCGAATTCTGCATAATTGGAAATATGCTTTTTATATATTATACAATAGTCCACTATTGGCTCTTCAGATCAAAGTTTTAACAAACGTTTGCCCTTTAAAAATCATATTTACATACTTTTTTATGGGATTCAAGCGGGACAGTTCATTTGATGGTAAATTGTAACGCCACTACGTGAACAGCAGAAAGCATCACGTTATCATGTGACACGCGTTGCTTCTCATTCTCTTCCATTCTAGAGGATTTAAATGTATTTTTTTTTAATTGAAGAATATTGTTTTCTATTTTTAAATAGAATAAATAGTTCTTTATTTCTTTCTTGCCTCCCGTACATTATTTTACTGCCGCATCTGACCGCATTGACTGACGTTAGAAACAGATGATACTAAAGTACTCATGTAGAAAATTTTGCGCTAAAGTCGTTAGTGGTACATATATAATCACAAAACTGTCAATTTCAATCTGTTTCAAATAACAATTAGCAAATTGTGTCACACGAAAAACCTTTACGTGTATATATTTTAATTTCATAGCGTTTATAACTACACAATATGTTTAAGGTCATAAAAATATATATATTATATATGTAGTAAGTTAAACTATGTAACTATTATCTAGAACTATCAGAATTGGTGTTTCAATACCTTCAGTGGACGAATCGCTTCCGCGGGCATCTCTATATACTAACTGTATATAATATTCATGTAAATATATATGGGAATTTAATGAACTTACATACAAAGCTTTACGGCATCACCGGACGATAGGCGAGTGCAGATGGCACTCCAAACCAAAGGACTGAAGGTCAACTCCCGCCTGATGGATACGAGTTTAGTGTGATGGCACCGCTAGGGTTCAGATATGACTTTAGTCTGACTCCGCTGGGTTTAGAACGTCGTAATTTCGATCCCAGTTTCAATTAGACGGGTTTATTTATATAGAAAGAGCATTCCTTTATATAGAATTTTAAATCAGCAAAAGTACAGGAACTAAATAATAGATGGCGCTGTATCAAAATAATGCACTATGATTTAACAGTGGTGCACAGATCTGTGTCAAAACGTTCGAAAGGTTAAGTTCATTAAACTGCCATAAATACTTATAAATATATTGAAAATATGAACATAAGTTTTATAAGTAATATAGTATATAAAATATTGGAATATATAACTGTATATATTTGTAAGCTGCAAATTAATAAGGCACATCACAACTCTAAAACGTGTATTATACGATTATAATACTTAGCAAAGAGCACATAAGACGCTTATTTCATTGTACCGTCAAGCTACCTGCGTTCTGGACACTGCTACTATTTCGCTATAAAAAAAAACAAAAGTATAAGAAAATGTATTCCTCGATTTGTTAGACATTACCAAGCTGCCATAATAAAGTTAATAGCGGTAGCAAAGTATTGTTGCATAATCTTGGGATGGACAAGTATTATTAGTAAATTTTGGTTACGACCACTGATTAGGTTATTTCCTTTCGATAAATTTGCAATAGCATATGCTGGTGGTCACTCTATTCTCCCAAATTTGAATTTAAATGAATCTGTATTATTGTAAACATGTACAACATTTATTTGAATATAATACGAGCTGAGTTTCTTGTCAGTTCTCATCTCGATATCATTCCGAACTGACGGTAGATTTGACATATCATAAGAGTCTGTAATAGAGATATTTTGAATTTGATATTTGTTTGTATTTTTTTTTGCAATCTATCAAGTATGTATTGTTATTTATAAGAAATTAAAAGTTATTTTCAAATAGTTATTCTTCATTGAAATTTCATCAAAATAACTGGAAGAATATTTATAATTCTGTTAGATTTATGGTTACTACTGTAGTTAATCACCTACTACCGTCTAGCTTCGTGTTCATGATGATGATGATGATGTAACCGAAGGACTGAACACTCTAGAAACTCCACAATCTATAATATATCTATACATATAAATAAAATTGTAGTGTCTGTTTGTAATATTGAAATAACCGTTTTTTGCTACATGCATATGAATATAAATATGGAACATATACCAAAATAACATTTTTTATAATTTTTGTCTGTCTGTCTGTCTGTCGGTCTGTTTGATCCGGCTATCTCTGAAATGGCTGGACCGAATTTGACGGGACTTTTTTTGGCAGGTAGCTGATGTAATAAGGAGTAACTTAGGCTACTTTTATTATAGGAAAATAAAGTTAAATTCCACGCGGTAGAAATAGCGTGATCAGCTAGTATAACAATATAATCGTTTCATATAAGTGTTATATATAATAAATCATACAAATTGGTTGCTTTCATATATACTTGCCGCTAAAACATCCAAGATTATGCCAAATACTTTTTATATTACACTTTTATATCTTAGTAAGTTAGATATTAAATTTTATACACTAAAATTACATTAGCGAGTAGTTATTATAGAGTAGTGAGAATGAAATTGCACCAAACATTACAGTCATTCTAAATATAACTATGTTATATATTGTATAATATAATTATTTACAAATATATATATATATATCTATATTATATATTTAAAAAGTATATGGCTGTCAATGGCACATTCAAATTTTTATATATATACGGGCTGTGTGTGAGAGAAAATATATACATGTATAAATTATATATATATATATATATAAGTTTGAACATATAAAAATGTTTTTAGTGGCCTAATTAGACACACTAGCCTCTTGACAAAAAAAAATCTATATATATAATCTGTAGGATTGCACAGACTATATATTTATATATATTCTGTCTCTCTCACACAGAGCCTAGTTGAGATTTTTCAACTTATCTAAAGGCACGTCGTCAAACATAAAGACAGTTAAATGGCACACGCGGTAAAAAATTCCGTACATACAAACATTACATACATTTTTATATATTATTCTTCACATATAATATCGTTGATTAAAAACAAAAATGTCATTTTTGAAAATAGGAATCTAGAATAGCCTCCTTGTATATAAGTCAATTAAATGAACCACGCCGTCTTAATCATTATCTAAATACTTTTAAAATGATATACAATACTTGTGTGTAAATTTAAAACTTTAAAGGAAAAAAATAATTAAATTAAATTTAAAAACTTTAAATGCTTGCCTAGAAGACAAAAACAAAACGTTTATTTTGAATTCTGCCATTTTTCTATTTAACTTACGATATAATTGCGACGAGGCAAAAACTGTACGTCCATTTATATGTTGAAATTAAGATAAAATATACATTATTCATGAATACAAATGTTTGTACAATGCGGGAAACGAACCTGCGACTATGCAGTAAGGTGTTAAACCGCTATATCACTGAGTCCGTCCATATATTTGTGTCTTGAAGTATATTTATTCAAATTGAAGTTGAATAAAGCAGTTTCTATTCATGAATTATGTTTGTATGTACGAGGAATATCCCAATTTGTATGGGATTTAATACAATTTGAGTTGAAGGCAACGTGAATAAGGACCCCGATGGGGCTAGCACTTTGTGACGCATATAAATCACATTCCGCTACATGCATTATGTACATTACACGAAACCTGCACTAAATTCTTAGATCTAAAGTCCAAAATCATTTAACAATTTTAATTTTTTTAACCCATTTTTTTTGATGTTTTTTCAACAGTCTTGCATTTCTTTTTTTTTTAAAAACATTTGTAAGTTTTTTATACAGGCTTGTTTTTTTTTTTTAATATTTTTAATAATTGGATAGCAGTCATTTCGAACTTTGCACGTAACAACTAAAAATAAATCTTTCAATATTTTATTAAATGTATATTTTAAAAAAATAATCTCAATATTTTTTTTTTTATTAAATATTTTTACGACCCTCGAGATTTTCTTTAAGCCAAATAATTACATTTTCTTTTTTTTTTTAAATAATAATAATAAAAAAATACAACCATATTTTGCCGATATATATATCATATTTAAAACATATCTCACGCCATTTTACAGAATTAATATAAATTTTGTAAGCTTATCAGTCCTTTTATCATTTAAACTTATACCACTCTTTAATTCCTATAAAAAAATTATAATGCGTTTTATTCTGCATTTCGAATTGACAAGAATCAAGTTTGGTATTAAATATAAGTCATAATGCATATAGTCGAATGTCATAAGCAACAAACTCCTCAATATCAAGTCCAGATGACAAATTATAATATTTTATAATAAATAAATATCTCTAATCATTATTATTTATACCAATATTATAAATATGATACTTTTTTATATTTTAATTTTTAATAAACTTATTAATATTTGCTATTATAACAAAGAATATTGTTGTAATAACAAATAACATATCGTGAATTAAATAGAAAAATGACAAATTTCAAAATTAGGAGCTACAATTGCCTCCTTGTATATAAGTCAATTAAATTAACCACGCCGTCTTAATCATTATCTAAATACTTTTAAAATGATATACAATACTTGTGTGTAAATATAAAACTTTAAAGGGAAAATATAATTTAATTAAATTTATAAACTTTAAATGCTTGCCTACAAGACAAGACAAAACTGTACATTTTGATTACTGCCATCTGTCTATTTATTCGACGATATGTATAGCATCTAAATTAATAATGACGAGTTTGTTGTATGAAACAATTACAGGGGTCGTTGTTTTTTCTAATACACTTATACAATATAAAATATAAACATAAATATCATTTCTATATCCAATTACATTAAGTTCATTTCAGTTTGTCTAAATATATAATTAACTTACATTAGTAATTTAAGTCTTATTTATTCATATATTTAATCTATTTTTCAATAACATTAACACACTAGAATATCAATTAAACCAATCCGTATATATATAACTATAAAATTATGTTTGTATATATATATAAATTGTTAAAAATAACGACCCCTGAATATCAATAAACGTTTCAAAATATCAACCACGATAGAAAAAGTTATGTGTATATATTATACAATTAGGCACCGCGTGTTCATGAAACAAAATAGCACCTCTGGTTAATTCAGTGATTTAAAATGTACGTAACGTTAGTGGTGTATAAAAAAATCTTGAATACATTCCATGTATAGTACATAGAAACATGAGCCATTCATTAATAAAACCGTTAAACTTTCGTAAACCTATTTTAGGTTAGAAGTTGTAAGACTGCAGTGCTAACTCGTACCGTATTTATGTACTCTGGACTGTAATAGAATGTAAATGGTGACCACTACCGTCCACTCTCCTGGCAAACGATACGGCTAGCTGCTGTCAGGCTAGTTAAGGTGCGTACGAATGTAGTAATCGATTTATTCGAAGTTAATTCATCGTAATAGTTTTTAAAATTTGTTAGTTTTACTAATGTTCAATATACATTTCAAATCACAAGAACTCACAATTTCTAACATACTTAAATATATATATTAAGTCGAAACGTGCATTAAAATATAAGCATTAAACGTCATTAAATGTCTTAACAAAACGCAGTTCAGATCACATATTGAACACATTCAAAACAAGTATCAAACCTTTAGAAGTTGCCAAACTTCTTCGTCACCGTTGAACTCGTCTCCGACTTGTGCGAGCTCGTCATCACCGATTTCCTCTCGATGGTTTCCGACTTTATGGTCTGTTTTGAGAACTTCTTGTCCAAGTTATCGATTTCCTTCACCAATTCCGACGGTTTCTTCACTTTTGTCACCGTCGACGTCGCTTGATAATCCGACGATTGGAAGTCGGACGGTCTCATGAAGGAGCGGCTCGTGTCCGAGCTCAGTTTGGACTCTAGCGTGTTGAACCGCGAATCGATTGTACTGTACTTAGAATCGTTATCGAATGACTTGGATAGTTCGTCGATGCCTTCGAGTTTTATCGGCTCGTATTTCGTATTAGTACTCGTTATTGTTACTGGGCTGGAACTGTAGATTTTTGTTGTCGTTACTTTCTGTGTTCCGTTCGGTATCTCTTTCACTTCTGTGGTAGTTTCCTCCATGTAATTCGGCCCACCGTAGCTGTAAGTTTCTTTACCGTACGGCGACGAAATCCTATCGTAGTCCGGGGTGGCCGCTTTGACCAATTCCGTTGAAGTTTTGCCGATCTCGCTGAATTGGCTGAAATCGGATTTCTCGAATTTGGACGGCGTGGACGTTGTGAAGGGCGATTTGATTTCTTCTCGTGTCTCTGTTTTGACCACTTTAGGGTACGTGTGATACGATTCACTCTTAATAGTATACTCGGATTGTTTCGTCCCGCCTGGAATTGCTTCTGTGGACTTCTGATGCTCTGTGAAACTTTGACCTATACCATCGAAAGGAGATTTCGGTGTGCTCGGCTTTTTGAGCGTCGAATATACAGATTCTGGTTTATCTTCAAATTTCAACTCTCTGGCATTGAATTTAGGGCTCAAAGGTGATTGTTTGGGTGTATCGTAGTTGGATCTTTGTTCTTTTTGATAATGACTGGATTCAAAGTGGCTCTCTTCAGATTTGTACTCGTTAGCCGGCCGCGGCGTGTCGTACAGGCGGGTCTCGTAGCTGCAATGTTACTTGTTGATTAGTCGATTATTTCATTAAGTAAATTAATCTCCAACCGTAATGAGACACCAACACCAGCATGCAGCATGCATTACAATTAAACCAAATTAACCACAATCTAATACTAATTTTAGTAAAAAAAAAAAAAAAGAAAAAGGGAATTAAAGAAAACAAAATTAGTTACTACTGAAGCCCCGACGTCGTTTCATTCTGATATCAAATGTGATGGTGTCAATTTATCCCATGATTGAATGAATGACAATAATGATAGTAAACATATCATTGCTCCAAATGTGCACATGGACCCCGGTGCTCTCAAGTAAATAGTAAACCAACCCAATCAAGATTTAGCGCTGTCTTCGTACTTTGTCTTGGAGACGCGTCGCGGTGGCGGCGGCGGTGGTCTCACGCTCTTGAAGAATATCCTCTCCTTCTCATCCCCCTCATCAGATATCAAGTAAGCGGTACGGACTTCCGGCAGATGTAACGACTTCACGACAACCGTCTCCTCAGTCACACTCGTTCTAATATGTTAGATACCCACATGCAGGTTAGGCGATAGAAAAAAAAAACAAAATAAAATTAGAAAGTTAGTTATTAATTCATTAGACTTTAGTCAGGCTTTCTACTATATAGCAGTAGAATGAAAAACTACTATTATCGTATCGTATATACAATGAAAACACACTTTCTTATGTACAGAACGATAATTTCGGATATATAACAGCGCGGATGGGGTAAGCCACGCATTTGAAAACAAATATACAAACTTTTATATAGCGTTTCGTTTATATAGACGACTTACTTATTCATCATCGTTCTGTCATTACTGGACATATTTTTTCTGCAATCGAAATATTACTTGAGTATATACTAGAAAACACTGTATTAATATCACAGTTGTTTAGAATTGTACACATTAAATAAACGGGCATCCGTTTCTGAGAACAGCGCACACATACGGAGAGACAAACAATATTTCGTTCTAACAATATTTCGGATCTTTTATATTAAACCAAAAAGAAAACTTATTGCGAGACCTAATTCATTAACAAGCATATTTTATAGACCTGAGTTGCAGTTATACCGACGCTGCTTTTAGATACGGAACATCTCAGCTTTTTAGAGCTGAGTAATGTCATATAACCCGTTTATATATTGCATACAATTATCTAGAAATTAATTGTAGAACGCAGTGACAAGCGTAACGGACCGGTCTGCGGTGCGTAGAATATAAAATTAAGATATATTTGTACAGATCTTCAAGTCATATATTAATATTATATATAGATTAACAATCTAATTATTAACATTAGTGTCGATTCTGAAAAGTTAATTTTTAAATCTTCAAAACTAGCCAAAAAAAATCATATTTTCTTTGTAATGTTCTCATAACAATATTTCTCTAATGTAACATTAAAATGTTACCCAATCCATTTCCACACAGTCACTCTATTCTCCCAAAATTAATTTTAAAAATGAATCTATATTTTAGTAAAAGCTAAAAGAACAAGAGTGAGTTTCATGTCAGTTCTTCTCATCTCGAAATCATTCCGAACTGACGGTAGATTTGATAGAATAGAATAGAAAATCATTTATTCAAATAAACTTAATTTAAGCACTTTCGAATAGTCAACATTTTTTTTAAATCTACTAGTCTGTAATAGACCTACATGTATGAAGATATTTAGATTAGACATTTCAGAATCGAATCCAACAACGCCAAATTATACTGAACATTGAAAATCTGTATCACATAGTCACTTGAGACGTAAGCAGATCGCATGGACACTGCCTACCCCCTCAGCGAAAGCACAAGCGTGAAGCCATGCGCTTCTTTGCGATTTGCATCAAGGTGTTGTTTGCTGCTGGACCAAACAATACACTGAGATGCTGCCTTTTTGCGTATGGGTGATGCACACACAATTCATATCATTCATTAAATAGAATAATGACATTTTCAAAATTAGGAGCTACAATTGCCTCCTTGTATATAAGTCAATTAAATTAACCGCGTCGTCTTAATCATTATCTAAATACTTTTAAAATGATATACAATACTTTGGTGTAAATTTAGAACTTTAAGGGAAAAAATAATTTAAATTAAAAAAAAAAAAACACTTTAAATGTTTGTCACAAGACAAAAAATGTACATTTTGAATACTGCCATTTTTCTATTTAACCGACTATATGTTGTTTATACCAATATTGTATATTATTCATTGATATATATAGATGTGTATTTATATTGCATCTTTCTTCTTAATATTACTGTACTTAGTGCGTACGCCCATTAACGCAAATAAAGATTTTTTCATCTACTTTCTTAATACATAAGTAAAATCTATTGATAGTTTTGTTATATTGAATGATTTGAATTTTACTTGCATTTTATTACAGACAGACCCGACCCCTAGATAAAGTTTCCCTCAGTTTATCTCTAAATATATATATATTCTTCTAGTAAACACACATCTAGAAAATGTTAGGATTTCGACATTTCTATAGGATTTAGTAGTTTTGATAATTTTTAAAAAGACTATATTACACTATGTTAGGATTTCGGATTTCTATAGGATTTAGTAGTTTTGATAATTTTTAAAAAGACTATATTACACTATGTTAGGATTTCGGATTTCTATAGGATTTAGTAGTTTTGATAATTTTTAAAAAGACCATATTACAGTATGTTTGGATTTCGGATTTCTATAGGATTTAGTAGTTTTGATAATTTTTAAAAAGACTATATTACACTATGTTAGGATTTCGGATTTCTATAGGATTTAGTAGTTTTGATAATTTATTTTTATTTTTACTGATAGTGTAATATGGTCTATATTACACTATCATCACGACTATTGGTGGTTAACTCATCATTTGACATGTCCACATTTCGCTCGGTATATTTGATATATCTCGGTATATCGTGGCAGGGAGCGAGTTTACTGTCGTTTTGGATAGTTTTTCTCAAAGCATTCAATATAATAAAATTAGCACAGACGATCCAGCAAACATATTTTGTATATTCATCATTTTTTAAATAATCATAAAGAAATACACGAGTTAATTGTTAATAATATACCTTGAGACGTGAAGTGGAGAATTGAAAATAACTTTTAAGACGTTCATACAAGCAGCGGTCACGTGACAAAAATAGTCTAAAAATGTCAAAAGCTATTTTCAAATTTCGACTTTGTATCTTGCAGAATAAGGTTCAGTATCTAGTATTCGTGTTACTGAAAAATATACCTTAAGACGTGAAGTGGAGAATTGAAAATAACTTTTAAGACGTTCATACAAACAGCGGTCACGTGACAAAAATAGTCTAAAAATGTCAAAAGCTATTTTCAAATTTGGACTTTGTATCTTGGCGGATAAGGTTTAATTTCATGAGTATTTTAACTGGCTTTTAGCTTGATATATCTATCCTTTACTACCAATCCTGTATAGCAAACAAATGCTAAGAAAAAAACAGGCAATTTTTCAAAACAAGTATGTTCATTTCTTGAAATAACTGTCCTTTAAAAAAAAATTGAAAAAATGTATTCTTTTGGGGAAATCATACGTATCCCTTACTACCAACCCTGTATAACAATAAACGCTAAGAAAAAACACGTCAATTTTCAAAACAAATATTTTAATATCATAAAAAAACTGTCCATTAAAAAAAAAATTGAAAAATGTGATCTTTTAGAACTCTAGACTTACTCAATTCCATTCTTAATGCAAAAATTATTCGAAACAATTCAATAAAAAAGCAACTTTACGACGTTATTAATCATAATATGAAAATACTGTGAAACAACAATATATATATATATATATATATATCTATACTAGCTGTCCTGGCAAACGTTGTTTTGCCTTAAAATAAAAAAAAATTAGGGGTGGACTACCCCTAACATTTAGGGGGATGAAAAATAGATGTTGGCCGATTCTCAGACCTACTCAATACGCTTACAAAATTTCATGAGAATCGGTCAAGCCGTTTCGGAGGAGTATGGGAACGAAAACTGTGACACGAGAATTTTATATATAAGATATATGTTTGCTATGACCGTCAGTTCATATATTAAAATTAATAAATTATGAACGCACCTCATCATACATAATAAATGAAGATTTCCTTAAATAAAGTAACTTAAATAGCGTAAATATAGTACAGTAGGCACATAAATGTGAGGCACTCATTTCTCATATTCATCTGTCCGGCAGCGTGCGAGAAAGAGATAGATTAGATTAGACAGAGATAGAAGTACAAGCTGGAATACCAGTTTGGCTTAGTGAAGCTGGATATAGCAGCTGAAATTAGCGGAATTAATAATGGAAAGATTTTATGGTCAAAGTATATTATCATTATAATTATAAACTAACCGACTTCCCACGGATCATTACAAATTTTTAATTTCTCGGCTTGTTCTATATTATAACACGCATGTATTATACATATAAACCTTCCTCTTGAATCACTCTATCTATTGCTGAAAACTGCATTAGAATCCGTTGCGTTATTTAAAAGATATAAGCGGACAGACAGCGACTAACTTTGTTATATAGATTGCCAAAATTAACAATTGCAAATTTGATTATAAAATGTTTTTTGTTTATGGTTAATTTATAGGTAATTGTAGTTCGGACTCCGGCTCGAAGGACCAATGAAGAATTAGGTACCGTGAGGTCAAAAAGCAGCTATTGAGGGTTTCATTTGAAAATACCATTCAATAGGATTGATAAGGTTTATTAAAAATCTACGGACTGGTCATTATAACCACAAACAGCTTACCGGCGCCATTTACATATTCCTATAGCGCCATCTAGTTTGCACGAGGTGAACTAAAATTACCTATAAATTAACTACATTAAATCCTTCTTATATGAGATTTGTTACCGCATATTGAAACTTTTAATATACCTTTTAACGTCTAATTTACACTGCACACATAGGTACTTAATTGTAATTATATGGCGTGACTCTAACAGCGTCACTATGATTCTTATTATTGTTTTAATATCGGTGTTTATTTTACCGGAGAATCAAATGAAAAAATGTAAATTTAACACGTATTCTTTTTCTATATTTGAACTCACGACCTCTTGGTTGTAAGCCACTAACCCGTGATGGCAATAATATACAATGTAAATATACTTCGACCATTTAGAAAACATACAAAATCCTTACCGAGTTGTGAATCCTTCGTAATTTTGCTTCGGGGTATCGTCTTGGGGTCGGAAACTTGAGAATGTTGGGCTCTGCGCGTACTTCTCTTCCCGAGTTTGACTGTACTGAGAATATCCGTTGTTGGATATAGTCTGAGTATGGGCAGGCCCAGATCCATGGCCAGGTGCGGGCGACTGCGCGTACGCAGGATTGGGCGATTGCGTGTGGGATTGGTTGTATGACGCGCCGTGTATGGACTGGTTGAATTGCGATATATTCTGCGACAGATTCGTGGCGTTGTGGGTTGTGTTGTGCTGAGAATACGTGCTGTTCGGGCTGTAGGTTGTATTCGCGAAGCTGCTGTTGGGTGTTTTGAATCTGAAACCGATAAATAACAAATTGAAACATTGTTGTAGGTTCGTATATGTTCGGGTTACAGCTAATGAGTGTATTTCCAATAATACTTGGACAAGAATGAATTGCATATGCCGGTGGTCAATACATTCTCTTTAATGATATTTAAAATTGAATCTGCATTTTTGTAATCATGTATAAGCTCATTATGAGAAAAATAAAAGCTTCTTGCTCGTTCTCATCTCATATTCATTCCGAACTGACGGTAGATTTGACATATCATAACAGTCTGTAATAGACCTACATGAATAAAGATTATTTTGATTATGTTATCTAAACCATTTTGCAAGTTTTGTGCGGTAGGTAATTAGTCACATTGACCAGTTGCTTTGCATTCTCAGAGAATGCAGAGTCAGAGAAAACGACATAGCACAAATTTTGTCTATAGCTCTTTTTAATTTTTTTTGTAAATACAACAGTACAGTACGTACGTATGAAAAATGTATTTCTTTATAGAAATACATTTTGCATATGTAGACTTTCTACAAAGTCATATGTAACCCGGTGGGCAACGTGCACGTGTCAGCTACTAGTCGGGGACCAGCAGCACGTGGTGTTTGTTGCGTGAGGTGTACCACGTGGTACGTACCTGTGGTGGCCGGAGGCGTCGCTGGTGTACCCGGGGGTGGCGGGGGTGGCGGGGGGTGCGTCGGTGTCGGTGTCGTCCCCGGACGCGTCCCCCCGCAGCTTGTACTTGGCCTGCCGGATGGCTGTCAGCCGTCCGCGCGCTTCCTCCAGCTCCTTCTCGATGCGGAGCACCTCCGACCTGCTCACACAGAACATAAGATATTCATTTAAACTCTAATCGTGTACAATGTAAGTACATTGAGGGAATTATTGCATCTTTTTATATTATTGTGTTAGCTTTTTTCTTATATGATATGATAGTAGTCATCTATACATATAAATAAAATTGGAGTGTCTGTTTGTAATATTGAAATAACCATTTTTTACTACATGCATGTGAATATAAATACGGTACGTATACCAAAATAACATTTTTTACAATTTTTGTCTGTCTGTCTGTTTGTTCCGGCTAATCTCTGAAATGGCTGGACCGATTTTGACGGGACTTTTATTGGCGCTGATGTAATAAGAAGTAACTTAGGCTACTTTTATTTTAGAAAATAAAGTTAAATTCCACGCGGACGAAGTCGCGGGTACAGCTAGTTTACTAATAAAAGATAATAGAAGAGAGCGTGGACTCACTGCTCCCTCTGAGTTATAGTACCGCATTATCTCGAGATTATTACATCTAAATTTAATTATAAACAACAATTGTAATAGTTTATTATGAATAATATGGAATAAGGGAGGGGACGCCCTAAGAAAAGATGGATGGATTGTATGAAAGATGATATGAATAAAAGAAGAGTATGTTCAGATATGACGACCGATAGAGAGCAGTGGAAGAGAATGACATACTGCGCCGACCACAAATAATGGGATAAAGGCAAGGCAATGATGAATTGTAATAGTTTATTATTTGAGACAAATAAAGATGATTATTATTATTATAACATGAGGAGTTCTGCAGGGTTCTATTCTTGGACCACTGCTATTTTATAAAAGTAGAGAGAGAGAGAGAGAGGCTGCGGGAGGGATGGAATACCGACCTGGCGTCGATCTCCTGCGCGATGCCGCCCACCATGCGGCGGTTGAGCACGAGGCTGCGCTCGTCCTCGCAGTGGATGGCGTCCCGGGCGGCGCGCACGAGGTTGTCGGTGGAGCGGATCACCTCCGCGCCCGCGGCCTGCAGGCGCCGGGTCGACTCCGCGGCAGGGTCCGCCTTCACCTGCCGCACACACACGTACACGTCCATTCCCACGCAACCACGGCTATGCGTTACACCAGTAACTCCATATATGCGATGCCTTTCTAAAGGCTTACATGTCATTGAAACCAAGCATGCGTTGTCGTTCGACAGGACTAACATGTCATGCCACTTATCCTGTAATTACACTGCCTAATTTGACTCTACAACTGAAACGCAGTTTGCAAAGCGAACTGCTTGGTGGCTGAAATAGACGAGACTGAGATACGCACGCTGATAATCTTCTACAATTTACCTCTGGTAGAAAGTATGAGAGTAAAAAGATGTACAAAGTATGTGACACCAATGAACTAAGGTGCCATGTCTCTTACCCTGTAATTTCATTGACTTATCCAATCCTGTAGGGACTAGTCTGCTGCTTGTAGGGACTGGTCTGCTCTAATCACTACGACTGATTTCCTCTTATTAATTGTTTAACCAGTTGGTTATATATTCAATATTTTTTCTATTTGAGTATTTAATTAAATTAGTGCTAATTGGTGGTTTGTATTCACACACTTAAACTTAAAAATGTAAAGTAATAATAAAATTATTTAAAAGAGCAACACGCAAGTTTCTTGCTCGTTCTTCTTGTGATGAGACAGCTTTCCGAACGAGCGGTAGATTAAAAAAATGTAATGACTATTCAAAAATGCTTCAATGTAAGTTTATTTGAATAAATGATTTTCTATTTCTAATTCTGCTTAATTACAATTATCTAAAAACTGTTGTGGGCACAGACGACTATTTAAAAATAACCTTTAGCAAAAATAATAAATGAATTACAAGTAGCAATGATGACAATATTTTAAAGAAAACATTATATTTGAATGTATAGGAAATGAAGACTGTGTGAAAAATAATATAGCAAGAAAGGGAGTGAATAACAAGGTGACTGTGACTAGGGAAGAATGGCAGAGAATGAGACATTGCGTCCAAATTAATACGATAAAGAAGAAATTTGAATAAAGATTATTTAAAAGATAAAGATTAAATAAACTCATTACAAGCACTTTTGAATAGTCATATTTTTTATTCTACCACTCATTCGGAACGCAGACTCATCATAAGAATGAGCAAGAAACTGTGTGTTGCTCTTTTGAATAGATGTTTTTTAAAACAATAAATACAAAATAGAGGCATGCGATGATCAACATAGAAACCGTTACGCACTCGTTCTCAGTGCAATCAGGTAATATTAAGATAAGAGGAAGCCGATGGTGATAAATAACAACATACGATGGCACCAACCTTGCAGGCGACCAGCAGCTGCGCCGTGGAGGAGGCGACCTGTCTCGCGCTGGAGATGAGCCTCTCCTCGGAGCCTGCGCCCTGGACCAGCGCGTTGGCAGCCTCCACCAGCGAGTGTGCGGCCGCAGCCACCAGCCGCGCCGCCGAGATCAGACCCTCCGACCACTGCCCGTCGTCCGACGACGACGTCGGCCGCCGCGCCACTTTGCCCTGTGTACGGATATTTTTATAGTATAGGAGACAAACGAGCTTGCGGCTCATCGCATGGTAAGTGATTACCCGTGAGTACATAGTATAGGAGACAAACGAGCTTGCGGCTCATCGCATGGTAAGTGATTACCCGTGAGTACATAGTATAGGAGACAAACGAGCTTGCGGCTCATCGCATGGTAAGTGATTACCCGTGAGCACATAGTATAGGAGACAAACGAGCTTGCGGCTCATCGCATGGTAAGTGATTACCCGTGAGCACATAGTATAGGAGACAAACGAGCTTGCGGCTCATCGCATGGTAAGTGATTACCCGTGAGTACATAGTATAGGAGACAAACGAGCTTGCGGCTCATCGCATGGTAAGTGATTACCCGTGAGCACATAGTATAGGAGACAAACGAGCTTGCGGCTCATCGCATGGTAAGTGATTACCCGTGAATACATAGTATAGGAGACAAACGAGCTTGCGGCTCATCGCATGGTAAGTGATTACCCGTGAGTACCTGCAACATCAGGAGAATTAAGTGCCGGCCTTTTAAACGCCGGCAACACACTGGTCATTCTTGAAGGAATAAGCTCTTTCCTTGAAGATTCTAATAAGATATCGGTGCGGTAATACCATGGTTGAACGGTGAATAACTTATTAAAATTATATTAATAATAACCCTGAACAACACAGCGGCAACAGCAAGCAAAACTTGTGTTATGGGTACTAGACAACTGATACAAATACATAAATACATTTTTTTCCTAAATACATACATAGTATACATCCAGACCTATACAAACATTTTCTTAATCTGAAACCAATATTTATACATTTTTTTTTCATATTTCAATACAACACAAATAATTATAATGTAATAATGTCAGGACAATTCATACAGCGCCATCTAGACCCAAGTTAAGCTAGCTTAAGCTTGTATTATGGGTGCTAGATAACTGATAAATACATAGATATGTTTTATCCTAAATACATACATAGTATAATTAGAAAACATCCAGACCGATACAAACAATCATACTCATGAATACAAATGTTTGTGCCGAGCGAGGAATCGAACCCGCGACTATCGGAAGTTAAGCGGTGGGCTAAACCGTTACACCGAGGCCATCAAATGACTTTATACATAGACAATTGAAGTTGAAATCGGAATATGATGAAAGGGAGTAGGTATACCGACCTGGTCGATGAGCTCCCGCTGCGCTGCGGATGCAGCTCTGACCAGAGCTGATGTAGCAGCGATGATGGACTTGGCCGCTTCCAGGATCATCTCGTCGAAGTTCAGGTTTTCATCCGTTTCCTGTATTATTGTATATATTGTTGTATATTATTACTTAGTGGTAGATAAAAAACAAATTGTTAGTTATAACAATTTGTTTTGAATAGTTATATTCAAAAGTGCTTAAATTAAGTTTATTTGAATAAATGATTTTCTATTCTATTCTATTATTGTCTAATTTATTAATAGTCCAAAGGTAACTTTAGCTTTATATAATCATCTATACATATAAATAAAATTGGAGTGTCTGTTTGTAATATTAAAATAACCTATTTTTACTACATGCATATGAATATAAATACTGTACATACACCAAAATAACATTTTTTACAATTTTTGTCTGTCTGTCTGTTTGTTGTTTTGACGGGACTTTTTATTGCAGGTAGCTGATGTAATACTTAACTTAGGCTACTTTTATTTTAGAAAATAAAGTTAAATTCCACGCGGATGATATATATTATAATATTAATACTAGATTTAAAGACAAACTTGCTGTCCCCAAGTATCGTTTAGAAAAAGTCAATAGGTCTTTTATGGGAATAGGTATAAAAATTTACAATAAGATACCAAAGGATATATTGGAATTACCCTTAAATAAATTCAAAACATCTGTTAAATCATATTTACTGAGCAAAGCCTATTACCTCACTAAAGGTTACTTGAATGACGAGCGTTCATGGCATGTTAACGAAAAATTGTTCGTTCTAAAACTTTCCCTGAAACCGTATATATTTTCGAGAAACATGGTTTCGAATTTATTATAAAAAAAACAGTTTCCAACAAACAAACTAAACGAAATTATTACATAAATAAGTACACACAAAAAAAAATCTTCTTATGCAATGTTCTGCGTCATCTTCATACTGTAGTATAGCCACGGTCGATGGGTAATATGTTTGATTCCTGGGTGATACAAATAACAACCAAGAATATCAAACATATCTCACCGGCACGCGCTTCTCTTCTCTCTTCTCTCTTCATAGTTTTCCTTGTTTTGTTTCCCATACTCATATTTATATTATTTTATTTACAACATCTCGTTACAAAATAGTATGGTAATAGTAATTACAATAGTTTGTATGATAATCTATACATCTATACATATCAATAAAATTGGAGTGTTTGTTTGTAATATTGAATTGAACATGCATATGAATATAAATAGACAATTTATGGTACATATAAAAAATATATCTAACATTTTTACGATTTTTGTCTGTCTGTCTGTTTGTTCGGGGTAAACTCTAAAATGGCTGGACCGATTTAGGCGGGACTTTTATTGGTATGTAGCATCAGCTAAATAAATAATGAAAGTCTGTCTGTTTGTTCCTCTAAAATGGCTGGACCGATTTAGGCCTTTTATATTACATAAGTAATATGGAGTAACTTAGGCTACTTTCATTTTACTATATGTTATACTTTCGCGAGTGTATCTAGTTACATATATATATATGTAACTAGCTACACTCGCGAATATAATACTATGTCCATTATAAATATAATGTAATTTTTCATATAATAACTAACTATAAATATCATTCTGCATCATAATAAACTGGAAAGAAATAGGTTTCGAAGCACAGGTTCACCTAATTCGAAACTCAATGCTAAACGTATAAATAACACCGTACTGATATAATTGTAAATGAAATGACATATGGTATAGTGTCGCGGTGTGTGAGTGAGGCGTGAGTGAGGGCGACGCTGGTGTACCTGCACCGGAGGCCTGCGGGGGCGGAGCGCCGCCAGCTTGCGGGCGGCGGCGTCGATGGAGGCGGCGGCTCCCAGCAACTCGTGCTCCGCGATCACTGTCGGGTCTGCGGGGTCCGCCCACTCGGGGCCTGCCACACACGTACACACAATATACAGTAAACAAGAGACACTAATATATCAAAAGGCATATGTATCGTTACAATAAGCGGCAGAGGGAGACTTTTCAGAAGTTCATTTCACTACCGAATGAATTTAAATTATCTTTATGATAGCAGAATAAAACAAGATCCAATAAATGGTTATTTAAAAAAAATATTTTATCATAAGTAATCGTTACTGAGTAACTATTTATTTTGCCGTATATTGAAATGACACACCTAGATTTTATACAAGTATAACAAAGTCTAATTGTTAAAGTGTAAAGGATTAGGGTTGCAAGCGACGCGTTGGATGCCTAAATCAAAATTATTAAAATAATATCTCTGTACAAAACAAATTGTTACTCAATAACTTCAGTAACAATTTTTTATCCCTATATTAAACTCTTTCGTCAAAAATTACAGTCTATTTTGTATGGTGACTCCATACAAACGGTAAAGGATCAGGGTGTGTGTGGACTCACCCTTGAGCAGGTCAGCGACGGCGATGAGATCAGCGACGGCGGCGGCGACGGCCCGGGACCGGTCCGGCAGCGCAGCCCGAGCGGCCGCGTCGCCGCCCGACGACCGCAGCACGGCCGCCAGCAGAGCCCTAAACGCTTCCGCAGCACCCGCGCCTGCCGCCATGCCGCGCTCGCGGAGCTCCGCAGTCTCCGCGCCGTGAGACGCGCCCTGACGTACATACATAGTAATGGTAACCCCTGGACCGTTCACATATAGTCATCTAATGCCGAGCTAAACTCTGAGTACTAGAAAACTGATATATTTATATATATATGTTTATCAAGTATGTACATAATAACTACTATCACTAAGTTCGTAAACATATTTATGTATGTTTTAATACATTCTACCATCTGTCCTTATTATCTTTTATTCCGAACTATTATAGCGCTATTGCAATTACAGATTTCCCAAATACTATATAAAAAACAAAAACAATAAAAACTAATTTTAATCATTACTTGTTACTTGAAATAAGTTAACAAACTAAATATCTATTATTTTCTTATTGACCATAAAATAAAAATATAAATCTTTATTCACATAACCTTATTTTTTTTAATCAAACAAGAGACAACACTGTATTACCTATACCTTAGGAACTAACACACATAAAAATAATCTTATATATAAAATTCTCGTGTCACAGTTTTCGTACCCATACTCCTCCGAAACGGCTTGACCGATTCTCATGAAATTTTGTAAGCGTATTGAGTAGGTCTGAGAATCGGCCAACATCTATTTTTCATCTCCCTAAATGTTAGGGGTAGACTACCCCTAAATTTTTTTTTTATTTTAAGGCAACACAACGTTCGCCGGGACAGCTAGTAAAATATAATATTTTCTCTGTGGTCACGGAACTGACGACGGCAAACTGTCACGGTAGTACCGATACACCATCCCCTTCGGTCAGTAATCATTCTTCATGAAGATTAATAATAATCTTATATATATAGTAAGTGTATAAGCATTTACACTAATAATTAAATAGTTGTTTTTTAATTCTACCACTCAATCGGAATGAACGAATTAATTCAATCAAATGTAAAACCTATAACCGGTGGCAACCGACCTTGCAGGCGACGAGGAGGTCTACGACGGCCTTCCTGCCGAGGTTGGCGGCGGCGGTGAGCTGGTCCTGTTTGTTGGCGTTGCCGGCCGCCACCGCACGAGCCGTGGCCGCCGTCATCTGCCGCGTGCAGCGGATCAACTCCTCAGGAGTGGCCGTAGACTTCGGCGCGGACGATGACCTCAGCACCTACGACAACACGTTGTATGTACCACGCTACCGGTTAGGTTTCTTTGCTCATAGAAGAGAATGGAAAAGAATCTTCATTCAAATAAAAGAATAGAATAGAATAGAATAGAATAGAAAATCATTTATTCAAATAAACTTACATTGAAGCATTTTTGAATAGTCATAACATTTTTTTTAATCTACCGCTCATTCGGAATGCTGTCTCATCACAAGAAGAACAAGCAAGAAACTTGTGTGTTGCTCTTTTAAATAATTTATTCTTACTTACAATTTAAGTTTAAGTGTGTGAATACAAACCACCGATTAGCACTAATTCAATGAAATAATAAAATAGAAAAAAAAACATTCAATATACAACAAACTTAAACTTAATAAAGACTTTTAAATAGTATGGGACACAGTCACCTAGATACATCAAAATAATAATTGCATTTAATAATGTCTAGTAAGACAAATTCAATATTGTGTAGTAAGCACTGCTGTGTCTAAACTGTGTCACCCCACCTTACATTTTCCTATTGTCATTTAGTATATAAGATCAATATTTCTATGTACATATTGTCAGTTTATTATCATCTGTAATATACATCGTCTCGACCAACAACATAGAATCACTCACCCGCAAAAGTGGTACCCCGACGTGATTTTAATTGATAATTTTATTGCATCAACACTTTCAGAATGTACTAATGAATTAAAATTATAAAATTACATTTATGATTTTATACATGTAGGTCTGTTGTACTATTACAATGGCAAGCCGTCTAAATGGGCTGATGATAATGTTGCTCTTATCGTCTACATACATGAACAGTGTGACGCCCCTGATACCATTCATGCGTCACCAGTTTGGGGTACCAAGATGTTATGCCTCTTATCCAGTAATTTCACTGCCATATCTCAACCTTAAAACTGGAACATAGCTTACACAGCAACTTGCTTAGCAGCTGATATATGTAGATGAGACAGGCGTAACGACGCGAACTACTTTGGATAAAGTCCACTTAAGTTGTTTCCTGATGTATCTTATCAGATCCATACCTCAATCTCTTGCGATATTGCCTCGATGGTAGATTCCAAAGCTCTGGTGCCTCTCGTGTGCTCGTCCTCCACCGACTTGACCGTCTTCAGCAGTGAGGTCACATTCGTCACCATCACCTACAAATAACCATCAATTAAACACACCGTATTTAATGGGTATGAGAATAACTGTACTCGACACATGCAATTTAAGTTTTAATGGGCTATATCCCGTTGATATGAGAATTTCGGTTAACCCCATCTAATGAAATTGATGTGATCCAAGAGAATTTATAGTATAAAATCTTGCAATCTTTATTGGTTAATTTTGAAAATTGCTTTTTTTTTATCTTTCGTAATGAATGGCCATGATGTAACATGAGAATAAATTTATTGATGTAGTAAACCGGGTTTTAACACGAATAAATTTCTTATATATATTTTTTTCTATCAGACTCCCAGAAATCACCATACCATCTGATGGTAAACGTGTAAACATATGCCCATGGACCCCTGACATCAGGGGCATGACAATCACGTTGCTGACCTATAAAGAACCCTAATATACCCTTTTCGAAAAAGTCTATGCTGTAGTCTATAGAGAAGACCTCGGCAGGTAAATCGTTCCCTAATCTAAGTGTACGTGATATATAATAGTATACGTTGAAAAAGGGCGAGCACAATAGATCTATGTAGGTCGCAGTGCTACAGGTGCTACACATCTGACAATAGCCCAAACAACCGAATAAAAAAAATGTGTACGTGAGAGTAAGCTTTTATTATGACAAATAAAGGTCCACTCTATCCACGATTCGACTAGGTCACACTGGCCCTGATCTGACTACATTACAATCACCTTATTTATTATGAAATTATTCGTGTTACGATCCGTTTAACTATATTAAATGTGGGTACTAAACGGGAAACTTTAAAGGTAAATAAACTCAAAAATAACTTGATAAATTTCAAAAATCCTATCACCTATAGTAGGCTACAATATCAGGGTATAACATTGCCTATATTTTCTTTAACACAATAGAACACTACATTGCGCTCGTGAGAGCCGGTTCGTTTATTATAAAGCGCCATTCTTTTCTATTTATAATGATTAGAAAGAGACAGAACGCTATAAGATTGGACACGCATCATGCGTCACATAAATCAGCACCAAAAATTATTTTTCCATAACTTTCATGTTAAATTTATATCTGGCCCTTGTAGAAACTCAGAACTAGAATTTAGTATTTAGAAAGATAGTCTTTCGGTCGTTGAATACCTGTTTACTGTTGACGCGTCTCGAGTCTTTTACCTTTATATATACATATTTTACCTTTATAATTAATTCAATATATTTATTTACACTGCGTATTCAATCCCTACAGTTATAGGCCTAAAGAACATAGTAAAATTCGTTTTCAGTTACCTGCACGGTTTTTTTTAATACTAAAATATTCTAGACTATTCTATATTTTACAAATCAATCTTTCAAATGTTAAACATAATGCTGAGAATTGTCTTATTATTGACAATAAAATAAGAGAATTAACTCGTATCTGCGTACGAGACATCACGTTTTTCGAATTGTAAAAAATTTTAGATTCTTTTCTATATTTCACAAATCGATGTTCCAAATTTTCCTAAATATTTTTTAAGAGAATAATGTAATCATTTTGACAAAAAATAATGCAGAAATTGTGTTATATTTTGACAATAAAATAAAAGTGTTCAATTTTACTTCTCCTATGTGCTTGTCAAAGGTCAGTTTTACTTCTCCTATGTGCTTGTCAAAGGTCAGTTTTACTTCTCCTATATGCTTGTCAAAGGTCAGTTTTACTTCTCCTATGTGCTTGTCAAAGGTCAGTTTTACTTCACCTATGTGCTTGTCAAAGGTCAGTTTTACTTCTCCTATATGCTTGTCAAAGGTCAGTTTTACTTCTCCTATGTGCTTGTCAAAGGTCAGTTTTACTTCACCTATGTGCTTGTCAAAGGTCAGTTTTACTTCTCCTATATGCTTGTCAAAGGTCAGTTTTACTTCTCCTATGTGCTTGTCAAAGGTCAGTTTTACTTCTCCTATGTGCTTGTCAAAGGTCAGTTTTACTTCTCCTATGTGCTTGTCAAAGGTCAGTTTTACTTCTCCTATATGCTTGTCAAAGGTCAGTTTTACTTCTCCTATGTGCTTGTCAAAGGTCAGTTTTACTCCTATGGGATTGTCAAAGGTCAGTTTTACTTCTCCTATATGCTTGTCAAAGGCATCAACTGCCAACGTCGCTGTTATTCGCCTGTTATTTAGAGGCATTGTCAACTGCCGAAGTCGCAGTTAACGCAACACTTGATACGCTTGCGATTAAATGGGTATATTTTAATCTTTGTTATAGATTAGCGGTCAATAATAAAAATCAACAAGCATTTTGATAAAGGCCAAATTTTATGTAACGATCTTTCAATCCAAATCCAGGCAGCATCCCACTAGGCCACTAGTTACTGAATATATAATTTTTGGGCTGATTACAAAACGAAACAAAATCTTCTAATAACAATACACAGAATCTAGAAAAAAAAACATTAATAAATAAAAGCTTAGGGTTGCCATCTTAGATTAGATGTAATAAAATAGAATTAGAAGAAAAAAAATGAAACCCCGATGTGGACGACAGAAGCGCCATGACGGGAAACCCAAAAGCTTTCACGGGACATGAATTTCATAAAATTTAAATAAAGCACACGCACACGTGCAATCTCGTTACGTTCACGCCACGAGATCGCTGCGATATCGTTACGTTCACGCGACGAGATCGCTGCGATATCGTTACGTTCACGCGACGAGATCGCTGCGATATCGTCGCGTCTACTAGCAAAATCGCTCGTATGTGTGTTCAATAAATACATATATATAAATACGAATGGTGTCTGTCAATATTGGACCTTGAAGCTATGAAAGCTTGTGGCTTTGTTAAGATGAACAGTGATGGTGGGTCGCATCCATCTATGAGGTGACTGCAGTTGATGTGGCGTTAACTATATAGCTATTTTTTTGACTGAAATTACAGGACAAAAGCATGACATCTCTCTCTATCTATGTCTCTCTCTCTAATCATATATATAGGCGACGGTTGCCACTTAAACTCAGATGGGCCGGCAGCTTGTTTGTCGCTCTAATTACATAAAAAACATCACTTAGTCATGTGACTTTTCTGAGGACTTGAGATGTTATGACCTATAACTATATACCTTGTAATATTACTGCCAAATCTCACCGTTCAACTGTAGAACATCTTACAGAGTAATCTGGTTAGCGGCAGACATATGTGAGTTTGTGATTCTCAACCAGACGAGTGAGTTAAGACAAAAGTCTACCTAAGCTAACTATATTTTTCAGTGATTTACAAACTGCCAATATCTCTAGATTTGTTTTACGTACTCTTAAAACATTACAAAATCCAGCCAATCACTCATAGATAGATACGCCACACTAACAACAGCGATACTGAAGCCTGTTTCACCATTTACCATATTGAATGAGAATTCCCATCATTATTCTGTGAAACAAACGCTAAAACGCCCGCTTATTGATCGAGATGGGTTGTTACTATTCTAATTCTTACGGCTTCACTAATAGAGTAGACATTTGTACATTTATCAACAATTTAGTCTTCAGTTAGTGCGTGCACACATTAAGGGATCCCGTTTGATTGGCGCAAATGTAAAGAGGGCGGGGCGTAAGACCTAAATGCGCCAATCGGACGGGAATCGCCTATTCGTATGCCAATCATCTAATATTAAAAATGTGGTCTCACATAAGATTACATAAATATTGGGACCGCTATATGTTTTGAGACAAATTGACCCTACATTTTACCTTATGGATCTATCTTGGCGATTAGTGAAGCCGTAACATCATAACTCATGTGACCATTAGTTTTTATTACAGTGGGACAGGATAACATTTATTTATTGGTTGGTACTACCACACTAATTTTGGTCAGGGGGTAATAGTTTATCAGAATTTTTCAACTGACAAAATGTGTAATGTATTTAAACACTTTAAAATACTAGTTTAATATATTATATGTAACATAAAACGAATCCAGCTAGAGGTCAATACAAGAATGATAGCGGGCAAGTGCTGATGGCACTTGGAACCCGCGGAACGACTTATGAAGCTGGTTAAATAAGGCTGAAGGCCAACTCTTGTCTGACGGATACGATTTTAGTCTGAGGGCACCGCTAGAGGTTCGTACCTCGACTCAGATCGTCGTAGTTTCTCGTCGATCCCCATTACAATTTGACGGGAGATCGCTAAAAGGGTATAGACCCTAACCACATTTATATATCTAATAAAAGTGGGATAGTTTGGACAATGGGTAATCGCGGGACAGATAAGAAATCTGGACGTATGGTCACATCAATCATGCCACATATACCGGACAATGACAAACATATTCAATGACAAGAAGGCACGGTGATTGGGAGGTGAGAGCAGTGTGTTTAAAGCATATTACAATATCACTAAACATTATATTCAATAATTTAGACAATTATATTTCTCATTTGTTTTAAACTCTATTCAAGATTGTTTAGAATTGTATACATTTTATAAATAGGATATTTATCGTGCATTTATTGATCTACATGGTGTCCTCGCAAACAATTATATAAAAACTTTATTTTTTACGTTTTTCCTGTTCTCAACTGTTTTTTCTCTTTTTTTTTTATTTTTGGGATTTTTGTGCACAAAAGTGACGATGATAATGCCATCGTACCTATACTAAATAACAAAAATAAACTAAAATTCAACTAATATTCTCAATTGATGCAACAGTCGAGTCAAAAAAGACGTCAAATAGTATTTCATACGACGTAGTTAAGCGAGAATACGGCCCATCTGATAGTAAACAGTTACCGTAGTTTATGGATCTTTTTATATAGTACGGCCCAAAAGAGCTTACGGCTCAACCACTGTTGAAACATGCCTATTTTTCTCATGAGCTGCGAAGTTTTAGAGAATTGTTTTTTTTTAATTTCAATATCGCTACACTTATTTAAAAAAATATTACATTTAATTGTTATTATTTATACATATAAAAATCAATTAAAAGTTATTCGTTAGTCTCACTAAAACTCGAGACCGGCTGAACCGATTTGTCTAATTTTAGTCTTAAAATATTCGTGGAAGTCCAGGGAAGATTTAAACGGTGTTAAATATAAAGAAATTCGATAGAAAATAATAAATATAAGAATTTTATTAACCCTAATTTTTAACTGTTCGTACCTATCAAACAGGGTTCGTTCAACTTCAAATTTATAGCTTTACTAAACTTAAAAAAAATCCATGACTTATTCAATTCTGAGGCTGAACAGAGTTCGCGAGGTCAGCTAGTCTCACAATAAATATGATTATAAATATCCCGCTATTAAATGCGTACAATCAACTTTATTTTTTCCTTCACTACATTTGAAACTAAGAAATTAGGTAAATTTTTAACTTGAATACGCTTTAGACACACTCGTATATTATTAGGAATAGACGATGACCAACAACCAAGCTCTTGAACACCATGCGTCCGTGCGCTCTTCTTGTTATGTGCATCAGCTAAGAAAATAACAATTCTGACCGATTCATCCTCCTTGCGGCTCACATCTTCGCTTTCCCGAAATCTATTACTCTGCACCTCATCCAACATCCTCAGCTGTTCCTCCATACGGCTATTGGGTCTAGATTTCCTCAAGCTGTTCCTATATTCTACTACAGCTCTTAGTCTTTTCAGCTCTTCGTCAGTTGTGTTCTCTTTGTTTAAGATCGCTTCGTAGAATCTCCACCAGTTGTCAATTGAACCGAACTGGTGTTCCCGACTTTTCAATATATCCTCGTATATAGACCACCAATTATTGGCATAATACTCGATCGGATAGGTTCGTGTTAAATCAAAGATTTCTATATCATTTCTGGAGTCATGCTTGTTCCGTTTCAGAGAGTTACCGTTTGTTACAATTGTACTTGAGTATTGGTTTACATTTTTCGTTAAGTTCTGACTCGAGTGCACGCTCAATATTACATTGCGGTTGTAAGCCGGCGGCGCTGATTGTGTGTCCTCTCTCACCAGACTTGGAGATCTCTCATCTCTCATCACATTCTCCTTGTCCGATGTTTCCTTCTTATATTTCCTTATAATTTCTTTATAATACTTCTCCAGAAGGCACAATTCTTCATATGTATATTTAGTTATATCAATTTGTGTATAAATATTTATAATATCTTGAATGTTAACAATTTTCTTCTTTCTACCTTCAATTTTGATATTAGACAGAGCATTTAATTTCTCAATTAGTGGATCAAAACCTTTATAATTGAAGTCTCTCTTAGCGAAATCAATCAATTTCAATACCATATCTTCATAACGTTTGTCGTATTCTAAATCTCGATTTACAGCTTTCGATCTGTCGACGTCATCGATAAATCTCTGTAATGTGTTCTTCTCTTTTTCATATCTATCTATCTCTGTTTGGTAATCACCAATAACTAATTCGTGGCCGCTGAATCTTTCCAGCTCTCGTCTAGTTTCTTCCATTTTATCCAAATTTCTTTTAGCGAGCGCTTTCCACCATTCTGTGTCGTCTTTGAAGAGCGTCCAAAATTCCGTTTTTACTTCTTTAGTTACAGTGTCTGGTTTTATCACAATCTCTGTGGACTCGTCCTTTTGTCTCTGTTCGGGACTTAATATCTCTTTGTCTGGTTCAACTGAAGCTATCTCTTTCTTGGCATCTAAATTAATAATCAAATTAACAGGTCTAACTCTTTTAATTTTAAACACTGGTGGATATTTTAACTTTGGTTTTTTATCTTCTAATTTTGGCTTTTTAACTGGTGTAGTCGTTTCTACAGTCTTTATTGTTGTTATATTTTTAACAACAGTTTCATCTATTTCCACTTCAGAATCTAAATCTTCTATAACTTGTGAGAGTCGCTTCATCTGATTATCAAGATCAGAATTAGCTTTCAATCTACTTATCTGATCCCTTTTTCTTTTGTTATCTAAACGATCACATATTTCAACAAACAGATCGACGAGCTTTTTAACTTCACCTAATAATATATTCTCACCATATTTGAGTACTCTCCAGTCCATATCGACTAGACTATTTTTAGCTGCTAAATTATAACGTTCGTTTAAATTATCATCTTTAACAGTTATTTGAGGTGCTTCTTTCATTAAACTCTCAATATACGTAACGACCTCTTCACAGTTATCATAGAATATAGATGGAGAGACATCGTCATCCTGACTAGAATAATCTAGAAGCTTGATTAGTTCTTCTTCTTGATCCGATTGGAAGATGTCGGTCTCGGAGTCGCACGAGTTATAATCTGTTCGGATGTTGACAGAGCGCCGTTTGGGCTGACGAGGGATGGTTTTGGTGGGGAGGCTCCAGCGTTTGGTGGCGTCGGTCAGTCGCTAATAGAAATAACCGATTACAATAGGCCTTATTTTGTTTGTGCTGTCAGAATCGTTACCAAATATTACTACTAATCTGTGTAACATTAATTTTATAGAATTTACACTATATACTTCAGTTTTATTAATATTTTGAGCAATAGGAACTTAAATAAAATTGGCAACGATTCTGACACCAGCTTACTAGTCCAATATTGACGACATTCAACAGACAAATGGACACATCAATGTAAACATATAATTAACTAATAAACGTCGAATAAAAACAATAACACTAAAGCAAAATTTAAATAGAGATATCAAGATTGAGCATGGAGCGATTTTCAATTCTTTAAAGCGATGCCGGATTCATATTTTTATGAGTGTAGGTCACTTTATATCCGCCGTCCCATCTATATACCTTTCTAAAATAATTATTTTCTCTAATTTAATTGTCTGACTTTTATCATCTGAAATCGAGTGGCTGTCTTTCCTCTGAAATCTGCCGCCCCTAGGACGGTTCTCTGAATTCGATTGACCGTCCTCTTTCTGAAATCTGCAGCCTCTAGGACGCCCTCTGAATTCGAGTGACCATCCTTCATCTGAAATCTGCCGGCTCCAGGCCGCGGCTTATATGATCTATTTATAGATCCAGGACTGTTTTAAAGTATAATGAGTTTGTTTCTTTTATTATTTAATGCAACAGGAATAGTAAACAAATAAGTAGGTGGTTTTAATTATAAATTAAAAAAAATAGGTATTTTTAATCTCAATTTCATTAAGTTATATATTTTAATTTACTAATTACAAATCGAAATTTATTAGTTGACATAAAAAAAATATTAGTAATGATTTTCTAATATTGAAAATATGCACAGAATTAAAGATACATTTAATATAAATTCCAGTATAACTGCTAAAGAAGAATTGGAAATCGTCCATGTACAATGACATCTGAAGATCATCGAATAAGTACCTAATTCTAAAATAAAAAAAGAACATTTTAAATCATTATTAAAGATTTACTTAAATAGAATAATATATATATACATGTGGGATGGGCCCTGTGGGGGTCGCGGGTTGGTACCTTGGCGGCGTGCTTGAGTCGCTGCATGTCGGGGTGCGCGACGTGCTTGCCGGCGGCGGCGGTGGTGGCGGCCACGAGGTCCCGCAGGGCTGCGGCCACGTCCCGCGCGGCATGCAGCAGCAGCACCTGCGGCTCCGGGCTGCCCGCGCCCAGCGACATCGCGCCCAGCTTCACCACCTCGCACAGTTGCACTGTCACCACCACCACCACGGTTACTCACGCCGATCACAGAAGCCAACACTCCGCACTCATACTCATTTATTCATACCTAGCTGTATCCGCGACTTCGTCCGCTTGGAAAGTATCTTTATTATTCTAAAATAAAAGTAGCCTAAATTGTTCCGGTTAATCTTTGAAATGACTGAACCGATTTTGACGGGACATTTTTTGGTAGGTAGCTGATGTAATAAGAAGTGACTTAGGCTACTTTTATTTTAGAAAAATAAAGTTAACGACAAAGTCGCGGTTACAACTAGTATAAAATAAAATAGAATAGAATAGAAAATCATTTATTCAAATAAACTTAATTTAAGCACTTTTGAATAGTCATAACAATTTGTTTTTTATCTACCACTCGTTCGGAAAGCTGTCTCATCACAAGAACGAGCAAGAAACTTGTGTGTTACTCCTTTAAATAATCCTTGTAAGTTTACATTTACAAGTCGAAACGTCAGTGCCGTGCCGGCGACTGAGACAGGCACACGTGCGCATAGCTCGCTGATTATTATCTATTTTACTTACATATTTTGTATACCGGTTGCTAATGCATCGGTGCAGCTGTGTTTGTGATAATGGATAGTTTCGTGCGGTCACAGAGCGTTAGCTCAATTCAATCGTTAGTTCACAGTGACGTATGCGAAGATATGGCGACTAATGAGTGTGAACAGGTAGACGAAACCGTGTTAGTACATAGTGAGATACAGCGGCAAGTGGAAAAAGGGTTAAGGGAAGACAGCAGCGGCAGCAAAGATGCTGACGAAGATGGATTTATTACCGTTACTAGAAAACCAAAACGATTACTGCGTAGTTTGTCAAACAACAAAAATCAAGAAAATGTTACCGACAACTTTGAAATTATTGTATCTTCGAAAGATATACTGCCCAAACAAATAGGAATGGCAAAGTTATTAAAGTCTGAAAATATTACTAATATATTGAGAATTAAGTATAAGGGACCTTACCGCTTAATTATACCCTTTAAGGATAAAGAAGATGCAGAAAAGTTGTTAAATTGTCAAAAGTTTATGGAATTGAATTATAGATGCCAATGGTCAAATCAAGTTTATTTTACATATGGTGTAGTTAAAGACATCGACCTCGATATAGGAGAAGACGAAATTCTTAAATTATTTGAAAGCGAACAAGAAATTATATCTGTAAGAAGGCTCAAACGATTAACAGACAAGGGTCAATGGGTTAACAGCGAAGTAATACGTCTTTGTTTCCGAAGTCCATCTTTGCCCTCGTATATTTATGGATACGGCTGCCGGTTCAAGGTGGAAACATATACATTCCCAGTCTCCCAATGCTCGGGATGTTGGAAATTTGGCCACGTAAAACGAGCTTGTCCTACAAATAAAGTAAAATGCCCCAAATGTGGAGGATCTCATGATAACTGTGAGACTACACAATTTGTATGTATAAACTGCAATGGCTCTCACATGGCACTTGACAAAGGATGTCCGCTATTTATAAAGGAACAGGAAATTAGAAAGTTAATGAGCAAAAATAACTGTATCTACAAACAAGCTCTCAATTTATATGCCCAACAAAAACTTAAAACAACAAGGAAACAAAATCTCACTACTGTTAATTCGATACCAGACAATATATCTTCTACTTTCAATAGATCATACCGTGATGCACTCATGACGAAGGAATTTAATATTGATCAATTTACAGTTAATGAGGAAACAAATGACTCGGACAACAATACAGATGAAAGAACACCAAATATAACATACAAGACAGGAAATAAACCTAAAAAGAAGAAAAATAAAAGAAACCTAAAATCAATTAATAGGAAAGTTGAATTAGATGACACAGTCACTGAGACGCGAACGAATAACAATGACGATGATAAGGAAAGTAATAGAAAACATAAAGTTCCAATGATTATCAAGATATTGCGTAAAATGCAACAAATAATTTTATCCGAAAAAGCATGTGAAGAAAAAATTATAATGTGTACTAAGAGCATAGTGGAAGAAATAATGCGTTATGTTATGAGTGTTATCAGTGAGGGAGATGTCATTAATAAAATATACAAAATGTTTAATAATGGCTAGATACACCAATAGTAAATGTGATATTAATATCTTACAATGGAATTCACAAAGTATACGACCTAAGTTGGTAGATTTTGATCTATTGTTAAATAGGGAAAAAAATTCACATAGCAGTGATTAGCGAAACTTGGTTAGAACCAGAATCGGCCTTTAATATATCGGCGTATAATATTTTTAGAAAAGACAGGGATGATTCTTACGGTGGGGTAGCTGTGCTATGTCATAAATCAATAAAAGCAATGATAAATCCAATAGATATAGCGAATAATGGCATAGAACTTATTAACATTAAAATAATGAATTGTAAACTTATTAAAAATATTATATCTATATATTGCCCACCTTCTGTACGTACTTCTCAGTTTGATTGGGATAGCATATTTTCATGTTTCTCCACCAACTCAATTGTACTTGGTGATTTTAATGGGCACCATTCAAATTGGTCATGTAAAACTGATACAAGAGGTACACAATTATTCGATAGCTCCCTTGATAATGGATATATTTCAATTAATGACGGCAACCCTACACGAGTAAAAGTAGTTAATGGCTCCCTTCAGCAAACAGCTCCCGATATAACTTTCTGTACTACAGATATCGCAATAAATTCAAACTGGAAAGTGACTAATGAAGGCCTAGGAAGCGATCATTTGATTATTAAAATTAACTTTAAGTATAGAGACAAAACAAATATAATTAATAAACGAAATTTTAAATGCGCTGATTGGGTAAAATATAAAGATGTAATAAATAACACGTTAGTTGATATAGACGTATGTATGAATGTACAAAATATGTATGATATTCTACTAAAAGCAATCAACGAGGCTGCTGACAAATCGATACCTATAAAAAAATATAGCATGGACCCCGCAAATAAATTTGAACCAAAATCATACTGGAACCCAGAAATATCTAAAGCAATAGCTGAACGCAGATTGGCACTGAAACAATTAAGACGGAATTCTACACCTAGAAACCTATCTATATGGCAACAGAAAGTTTCAGAAGCGCAACGACTTATAAGACGAGCAAAATCTCTGCATTGGCAAAAATTTTGCAATAGTTTACAGGATACCACGTCAGTTGCAGATATGTGGCGAAAAATGAGGTGGATGAAGGGTTTAAAACAAAAGAAGGTATACTCCTCAGAACAAGCAAAGTTAAAACTACTAGCTACATTAGCTCCTGATTCGGTATCACCCCCGCCACCAGTATTAAACGGCTTTAATTCTATAATTAATTAATTAATCTCGACGCTGACTTTACAACTGCAGAATTATTCAATTGTTTAAAGAGTAAAGATACGGCTCCAGGTACCGATCAAGTCTCATATTCTATGATTTACAACCTACCTGATGTAGCTAAGACACATTTACTAAAAATATACAATCATATTTATCGATCAGGATCCGTCCCTTCACAATGGAGAGACGTGCTCATTATACCAATTCCAAAATCCAATGAAGCGACTAAAGAACAACTAAGACCAATCACACTAGTGTCTTGCCTGTGTAAAACTTTCCATCTAATGATTGTAAAACGTCTCGAATGGTTCGTGGAGAAAAACAAAATTATGTCTGTAAATACTACCGGATTTAGAAAAGCTCAATCATGTTTGGATTGTCTCACCAGATTGATTACTCAGATACAAATTGGATTCTCTACGAATGTACCAACAATAGCCTGTTTCTTGGATATAGAAGGAGCATATAATAACATTTTAATAGAAAAAATAGTACATATACTAGACGAATTGTCAGTAGGGCGTAAAATGTGTACTTACATCTGGGAAATATTAAAAGAAAGGCACCTTATGATTAGAAGCGACGAAGATGAAGGTAAAATGCATATACGATGGACTAGTAAAGGGATCCCTCAAGGAGACCCTTTATCCCCCTTATTATTTAATATAGCTACCATAGAAATCTGTAAGAGAATGGAACAAATTTGTATCTGTCAATATGCAGATGACTTTGTACTATATGCAACAGCATATAATTTTTTAGATAGCATAAGAAACATCCAGAGCTGGTTGAATATATTGGCCAATATACTAGGTGAATTGGGACTCGAATTGTCAGCTAACAAATCAAAGGTCTGCTATTTTAGTCGAGGCAATAAGAAACAAACTTTAGAACTACTTGTCAATGACCAAACATTAAAGGATGCGCAAAATGTTAAATATCTAGGTCTATGGTTAGATAAGTCATTACGATGGGGAAAGCATATTAAAGAAATCCGGGAAAAGGGACAAAAATTTTTAACTTTACTTAAAGTTCTAGTGGGATCTGGATGGGGAATGCATCCTGTACATCTACGACGATTATACATAGCATTAATTAGGAGTAGATTTGATTATGCGAGCCCACTCTATGACAACGCTGCTAAATGCCATACGACCAAATTAGATGTTGTTCAAAATCAAGCATTAAGGATTATAGGCGGCTTTATTAAAACCACACCAACACATGTCATGGAATGTGAACTGGGTATTCCACCTTTGTTTATCAGAAGACAGTTCCTTGCATATAAATTCTGTTTAAAATCTCAGTCATGGACCACAAAAGTAACGGCTGCACTAATAGAAAACCTCTTTTGACAATCTGTTCAAATGAAACCATACAAGAGAATATATCGACATCTGATCCTCTGGAAATGTTTACTCTGAGTACATGGGTTACAAATTTTAATATTAAAAATATAATTAAAACTGAGGTAGATGTGTGTAAAGTGTGTGACTATGAAATTAATCAATTAAAATATGAGGTATTGAAAGAACTAAATACGAAATACGGTGATTGGCAATATATTTTTACAGATGGATCAAAATCTACCAACGGTCTTGGTGCTGCCTATTACGATCCTGATAGAAACACATACGAAATGTATAAAATAAAAAACAATATCTCGATTATGACGGCGGAACTCATTGCAATTTCAATGGCACTTTCATATTGTCTGAACTGTTTAAATGTAAGTAATATTGTCATATGTACGGATAGCAAAAGTGCCCTATTCCATATTTTAAAATGCGCTTCCGGATATAGAGGAATATCAACAGCATACAAAATTTTAGATAAAATTAATAATTTTAGGGTTAAAAATGTGACATTGGCATTGCAGTGGCTCCCAGCTCATGTAGGTCTACAGGGAAACGAGAAGGCTGATACTTTGGCCAAAAAAGCCTGCTCTGAAGGAGTAATTATTGATGTGTTATCAGACTATTCAGAGATACTAAGCAAGTATAAAAAAAAGTGCTATAAAAGCTGGAAAGAATATTTTGATGAAAGATCTAAGTCAAAGGGCATATGGTATAAAACGATACAGTGCCAGCCTCCTCGTATTCCATGGTTCGCACTCACAAAGATTAATAGGCAGCACATTGTTATTGCGAATAGACTGCGTTCCGGACACATTCCATTAAATAAATTTGCTTATTTAATGAAAAAAAAAATATATATATGTGACACTTGTGGAAAAGAAGATCTGCATCATATTTTAATGGAATGTGTTCGTAACGCATATAAAAGAGAATATACCATCCAAGCTTTAATGTTAAATAGGTTAGACGTAGGAGTATTTCATGAAATATTGGCAGAACCAGCTTCCGATGCAGCCAAGTTATTGTTCTGGATGGTATCATATTAGATTAAGTTTTTTTAGTTTATTTTTGTTAATTAGTATAGGTACGATGGGATTGTCATCGTCACATTATGTGCACAAAAATCCCAAAAAAAAAATAAAGAGAAAAAAAAAAAAAAGTCGAAACGTGTGAATACAAACTACCAACCAGCACTAATTTCTTATATATAAAATTCTCGTGTCACAGTTTTCGTTCCCATACTCCTCCGAAACGGCTGGACCGATTCTCATGAAATTTTGTGAGCGTATTGAGTAGGTCTGAGCTTCAGCCAACATCTATTTTTCATACACCTAAATTTTTATTTTTATTTTAAGGCAAAACAACGATTGCCGGCCCAGCTAGTATACAATAAGATTGAATCAGTCGTAGTGATAAGAGCAGACCGTAGCGACTCTACAAGCAGCACTCGTTCACGAGTATGACGGATGAGCTAGCCATCACTGCGCTCGACCATATTTTAGGGAGCCCAATGACCAATGAATAAAGAGTATTTTACTCCGCACCCCTCCGACCCAGTATTAATGTAACATATATATTCTTGAACTAGAGAAGTCAATCAAAACTTCCTATCGTATATTTCTATAGGGCGTAGGTTTTTAATTAGTATATCATACTAAGGTACGAAAGTACTGAGTATAGAACTGACCGATGGTGTTGACGGCGCTGGCGGCGGCGCTGGCGAGCTGGTCCTGGGTCCCGGCCGCGCCTCCCACCAGCGTCTTGGTGTCCTCCACCAGGGTTTTGGCCGTCTTCAGGATGTTCTCGCGGTGGTCCGAGAACGTATCTGTCTCCTTTTCCGAATGCAGCGTGCCTGGTGGATGGAACAATAATATAGCCTGCTCGTTGGATGATCTAGCGGTCTACGCGCTGCTTTACGTCCGATGGTCGCGGGTTCGATTCCTCGCACGGCACAAACATTTGTATTCATGAGTATGATTGTTTGTATCGGTCTGGATACGAAAAAGAAATCTATGTATTTGTATCAGTTGTCTAGTACTCATAACATAAGCTTTAGCTAGCTTAACTTGGGTCTAGATGGCGCTGTGTGAATTGTCCTGAGATTATTATTATATATTTATTAATAAATTTTAGTTGCTTTGGTCCTTTAATATGGAATTAATGTAGCAACACCACAAATAGGGAGTAATTAGTTCACATTACTAAAAATCTCTTTCCTCGTAGTCAAGATGTGTTCGGTTGCTAGGTGTAGAGTTCGACTATGTGTGGTTTACATTGGGAAGTCTGAATTCACCTGCGCTGGCGAAGAGTATGGTGGTGTCCAGGTCCCCGAGGATGGCGGCGATGGTGGCGGCCGCGTCGATGCAGGCCTGGGTGCCTCGCGCACCAGCCTGCAGCGCGCTCAGCACCTGCACCACCTGCGGGACACATCACATAATGACTCACTTGATCCGGCTCGAAGGACCATCCTACTAATGGTGCATTCACACCAAAAATATACAAAGTTGCACCAACACCAACGTCTTTATATATAAACACATGTAGAAGTCATAAAATATTGAACCAGTTGATCCGGCTCGAAGGACCAATATGCTAATTCATCACTCATAACGAAGATATATAAAATTGCATGTAATATAAATTATAATAAAAAATATTAGGGAAAGTTACCTTATGCTGAATATATTATGTGAATTAACTTATGCTACAGACTTAAGAGTAAAAAAAAAGAATTATGGAGTAAAGAGAAATATGGAGTCGCTCTGGCGGGGAATAATCTTTTAAAGATTTTTTCCAAGTTTCTGTAACGGTAACACTAATGACATCGACTACACTATAACGTGAGCTTGCATTGTACTTGGAAACTATTTTTTTTTATTTCTGCTACATAGACTCTATGGCCGCCTACTCTATGCGTGAGCACAGGTTATACTTAGGAACCTTTCATTGTTTTTTTAAGTCCTGCTACGGTAATATGTCCGCCGACTACTCTGTACGTGAGCTCACGTCATACTTGGGAACTGTTTTGTTATTTTTGAATTCCTGGTACGTAAAGTCCGTGTGTTACCTTCTCGTTGACGTGCTTGGCGGCGTCTGCGACGGCGTGCTGGTGAGCTGGCACGGCCGACAGCCGGCACTGGCCGCCAGCTCGCACCAGGCCCGACACGGCCTCGCCCAGCTCCGACACCGACGACCGGATCCTGGACCAGAAACCGTATCTTACACCTACGCTCTTTCACGAGCCAATGTGTGCAGGCACAGGAAGAATGTACAATGTGTGTTAAATCGTTACAAAAGTATATCCACGGATACGTGTCTGGATTCAGTTATTTAATGTCCGGAGTCGCGGATACGGATACAGACATATGGTGTCTTAAATTCGCAGATATGGATACGGATATCCGGAACATCATTAGTATGTATATAGCGAACAGGGGGGCTGGACCCATTGAAGAGGTCTGTGTTAGATTTAGATTTGTATGCATGTATTGGTGATGTGCCGGATAGTTTAAAAAGTATATAATCCATGGATACAGGTCCGGATTCGGTTATTTGATGTCCAGATCCGCGGATACGGGTACAGTTATTCGGAAAATGAGTATTTTGTTTTCGGACTACTCGTAATGTTGTTTGCTGCAGCTGGCCTTTACAGCTTCACTAGACGATAGGGGGCGATTTCAGATATGGCACTCCAAACCAAAGGAAGAACTCATGGAGCGGCTGAAGGCCAACTCCCGCCTGACGGATACGACTTTAATCTGAGGGCACAGCTAGGGGGTTCGAACCTCGGCTCAGGCCGTCGTAATTTCAATCCCCGTTTGAATTGGACGGGGGATCGATCGGCGGGGACTGAACATGAGTAGTATGTATGCGTGGTGTGTGTGTGTGTGTGTGTGGGGGCAGTAGGGCACCTGTTGGCGAGGTCTGCGTTGGGCGTGGTGGCGGAGGCCCCGAGGCTGTCGTGCGCGAGTCGCTCGTACTTCTGGCAGGCCTCGTTGGCCAGCGCCACCAGCTGACGAGACTCCGTCGCTGACTTGGCCGTCTGACATACAAACAAAAACACACATTATATTAATAAACTAGCTTTTGCCCGCGGCTTCACTTGCGTTAATTTATCCCCATGAGTTGCCAGCACCCCCGTAACTACCCTAGGAATTTCGGTTTTTGAAACCCTCGAAAAATTACAATTTTCATTTTTCACGCCGCCATCTTGGATTTTATTTTTTTCTTTTAACCTGAAATGCAACCGTTTGCGGCCCTACGAACTACCGCTTGAACGAAATCGATCCGACGAAAATTGACAAAGTTCAACCGCCATCTTGGTCCGCCATCTTGGATTTTCCCAACTTTCGGAATTTTCTCGTGGTCACCCTAGCGAGAGGTACACTTCCCCCATACATCGTCACGACTCATAAACTCATAAAACTCACCATGTCTGTAGCGAGCCTGGCGATCTCCTTAGCAGCAGCCACCATCCGAGTCTGGTAGTCCACGAACGATTCAGTCTCATCGTAACTTCCGACCAGAGACATCCTGCGAACAAATCATACGTGAGTTTACAATAGAAAATACAAATCCTTAACCCTTTGAAAGTTTTGCCACAGATCTATGCACCCCTCGTAAACCGTATTACAGTCATGTCACAGATCTGTGCCCGCAAAACCGTGACTTCTGTTTAACCAATTTAGTCCTTATTGGAAACGAAATAAGATCATTCCGAGACAGCATTCCGAATGAGCGGTAGATTAAAAAAAACTGTGATGATTTGACTATTCAAAAGTGCTTCAATGTAAGTTTATTTGAATAAATGATTTTCTATTCTATTCTATTCTATACTTCATTTAAATATCTACATAATTTTCACTCTTTATTTTATTTTGTTTCTTCTGTTTATTTTATTTAATTTTTATGTAATCAACAATTGATCTGGTATATTTTTTATGTAATCCAATTAAAATATATTAATTCGTTTGATATGTCACATCTACTCTACTCACTGATCTGTAATAGTTAATTAATTATTTGATAATTATTTTGTGGACTCACGTGATACAGGCTCGCCTAGTGCGGGGTCAAATGTATAATCAACTTTAAAATATTTGTAGAATTGAAAATGAATAAATGAATTAAATAATTTATATCAATTTATTATATATTTAGTATATATCATAAATCGTGTACAACACAGCAGTACACCACACCAGGTCTTGTGCTGAAAAACAGCGTTGCAGCGCTCCAGCCGCTGCAGCATTATGCTGAGCACAGATCTATTCGGTAGATGCTTCGATAAACACACATACGTAATTTAATGTACTTTTTTTTTTGTTTGTTTAATGTGCGTTTTAGAATAGAATAGAATAGAAAATCATTTATTCAAATAAACTTAATTTAAGCACTTTTGAATAGTCATAACAATTTGTTTTTTATCTACCACTCGTTCGGAAAGCTGTCTCATCACAAGAACGAGCAAGAAACTTGTGTGTTGCTCTTTTAAATAACCCTTGTAAGTTTACATTTACAAGTCGAAACGTGTGAATACAAACTACCAACCAGCACTAATTTTTTGGGTCAAATATAAAAACACAATAAGATTGAATCAGTCGTAGTGATAAGAGCAGACCAGTCCCTACAAGCAGCACTCGTTCACGAGTATAGCTATCACTGCGCTCGACCATATTTTAGGGAGCCCAATGACCCGGCCCACCACGCCGCCACATGTCTGGACATTTTAGTTTTTTCTTCTACTGAATAAGTATCATTTCATTTCAAATAAATAGTAATAACTTACTGATATTATAAATGCGAAAGTTTATGAGAACGTATTTTGATAAAACGTCGAGATCACCAACTTAGCGGCTATTCGTAGCGAGTGTTTGGTAGGTACAGGCAGCAAGCATACAAGATGAGTGCATTTGGACCTAAGCCAACGCTTCAACGGATGATCTAATCTCACTCGATATATTTTGCCCTTATGGTATAGCGGTTTAGTACAGGTCTTTACTTCCCATGGTCGTGGGTTCGATTCCTCGAATGGTATACACATTAGTATTTATTGTACACTTTATATAAACGAGATATTTTCCATTAGAATGTAGTAATATTAAAAATAATGTAATCTTTATCTTAAAAATATTATAAACGCGAAAATTTGAAGTATGGATGTTTGTTACTCTTTCACGCAAAAACTATTGAACGAATTTTGATGAAACTTTAGAGTAACGTAGCTTTTGTATCAGAATAACTCAAAGGCTATATTTTTTATTAAAATTTAACGTGGGTAATGTAATGTAAAATAATGAATGAAGTTTTTATTAATCACTAGTTACTCGCCCCTGCTTCGCCCGGGTGTACATGTATTATACATATAAACCTTCCTCTAGAAACACTCTATCTATAAAAAAACCGCTTCAAAATCCGTTGCGTAGTTTTAATTAACACAGCGCCATCTAGTCTGACGGTAAGCAGATCTTGTGTTATGTGTACTGGTCAACTAATATAATAATAATAATTTTAGGACAATTCACACAGCGCCATCTAGACCCAAGTTAAGCTAGCTAAAGCTTGTGTTATGGGTACTAGACAACTGATATAAATACTTACATATATTTTTTTGTAAATATATCTAATTATTTATCCATTCCGCTCCGATCAACCATACAGGCTATATATAGGACGTACTGACGGACAACGCTATTTTTATATTAACACCGCGTAGTGGATAAACACAACTTGCATCATGTATTGCTTCCTTATATTATCGTTTCTTACTATATATTATACTAGCTTTTGCCCGCGGCTTCGCTCGTTAATTTATCCTCTTAGGGGTGGAATTCATCAAAATCCTTTCTTAGGGGATGCCTACGTAATAGTAGCTTTATGCATGCAAAGTCTCAGCCCGATCGGTTTGAAATTGACAAAGTTTCATCCCCTATTTTATCCCCTTGGGGGTAGAATTAATCAAAATCCTTTCTTAGCGGATGCCTACGTCATAACATCTACCTGCATGTCAAATTTCAGCCCGATCCGTCCAGTAATTTGGGCTGTGCGTTGATAGATCACTATGTCAGTCACCTTTGAGTTATATATACTAACAATTTATATGGTAATCACTTAGAATCAGATTAGCTGCAAGATCGTTTGTCCCTTATGCTATAAAAACAAATATATAGATAGACACGTGATACTTTCATGTATATACCGTCGTCTCTATAATCGACACCCGTCCAATTCAACTGTATTACTGTTATTTGTAAGCGATTTATCAATTTATTTCACTCATCCCTATTCAAAATCTACCCTGTGCCATCGTAAGCACAGATTATTATATTAGAGTCCGTTAGTTTCTGTTCCCGCGCTTTTCCTTCCCCCCCCCTTTACTATGACAGATCAGACCGTACGGCTGTATGGGCTTAGACTCTTTGCCTTTCCATTACGGATAAATAAAACAAAAAAAAAAAAAGATCAGACCGTACAGCGGCCGTGACGCACGCGCATTATTTGTACATTAAAATAATAATAATAATCTCAGGACAATTCACACAGCGCCATCTAGACCCAAATTAGCAGTGCCCTCAGGCTAAAGAAGAAGAAAGAAAGAAAATTGTTTATTTGGTACATTGAAAATAATTTATAAATTTTAATTTACAATTTTATATTAATAATTACAAATAGGTCTGGGGCCGTTCAAGTATTACGTAAGCACTATAGGGGGGCGGGGGGTCTTTTCTTTTCTTATTTTGGATGACATGGGGGTGGGGGAGTCTGTATGATGATTACGTCATCGGTCGTAATTTACTTTTTTACACGAATGGCAACCCTCACATTGTCTTTGCTAAAAAAACAATACATTAATTGAAATATTTGCGTAAGCGTGGGGGGAGGGGCAAAGAGCTTTGCTTACTTTTGCTGACAACGGGGGATGGGGGGTAAATAATTGTGATAAATCTGCTTACGTAATACTTGAACAGCCCCTATCCGCTCAGCATATGTCGTGACGGGGTGCCACGACGCTGGTTTTCAGCGGATACCTTCATATATATGAAGACTAGTCGCAAGCTCGTTTGTCTCCTGTACTATAAATACAAAAGTAATGACGATAATTATTATTAGATACCTGTGGTCTGTGAGTTTGGCGACGGAGCGAGCTAGAGAGTCGAGCAGCGGGCGGACAGCGCCGCGTGCAGCGCTTAGTTCACGGGCTGCCCCGCCCAGCTCGGTGAGGGCAGCTCGTGCTAGTGTCACGGATGCTTCCACCTCTTCATGAGCTCCGGTAGCCTAAATAAAAAAATATATTATTAATCACAAAGTAAAACCAATAATCTATACATATAAATAAAATTGGAGCGTCTGTTTGTAATATTGAAATAACCGTTTTTTACTACATGCATATGAATATAAATACGGTACATACACCAATTTTTGTCTGTCTATCTGTTTGTTCCGGCTAATCACTGAAATGTCTGGACCTAATTTGACGGGACTTTTATTGGCAGGTAGCTGATGTAATAGGGAGTAACTTAGGCTACTTTTATTTTAGAAAAATAAAGATAATTCCACGCGGACGAAGTCGCGTCACTAGACTAATAAAAGCTTACGAAATTGTTACGTGATGATGCAATGAACAGATGTTAGGTAATAATGCCTTCAGAAATTACAAGGTGTGTAAATCAAAACAAAGTATAAAATAAAGTTTGACGAAAGTTAAGTAACTCGTTTTATGGAAACTGCGTAAGGTTTTACAACCTGCCAGAGTCTGTACTCAATTTTACAGAAGAAAAAGATCGAAATGTCTTGTATGAAATATTTTCTTTGTAAAAAAAGGTTATTATAAAATTGAAGAATTTATAAATGAGTAGTCTTACATAAGATTGTAACAAACATGTTTTTGAGTTAAATTATTTTCTACAATAACATTATAATCATTTATAAATTCTTAAATTTTATAATAACCTTTTTTACAAAGAAAATATTATATAATATAATATAAATAATGTAATGGAGTAACTTGAAGCATTCATACTTGCTATAAAGTTCGAATACGAGCTGAGTTTCTTGTTCTGTTCTGCTCATTTTGAAATAATTTCGAACTGATGGTAGATTAGACATATCATAAGAGTCTGTTTTTTTTTTAAATCAGGACAATTCACACAGCGCCATCTAGACCCAAGTTAAGCTAGTTAAAAGTTGTGTTATGGGTACTAGATGACTGATACAAATACATAGATATATTTTTTATTATAAATACATACATATTATACATAGAAAACACCTGGACTGATACAAACTATCATATTCAATGTTTGTACCGTGCGAGAATCGAACCCGCGACCGTCGGATAGTAAAGCAGTATGCAAACCACTAGACCACCGAGGCTGGCACATGATTAAGGATATTTAGAAGTGGTGGATGTAGTCACCCTGGGGTTCCCTGCGGCGGCCCTGGCGGCTGCGACCAGGGAGGCGAGGGTCTCGAGCACGGTGCGGGCGTGCTGCAGCAGCGCGCGCTGCACCTCCCACTCCGTGATGTTGGACGCCAGCCCCGCGCTCGCGCCCACCACCGGCTCCGCGTACGACACCTGCACGCACCACGCACCCGCAGTTACCACCCCTGCGCACTACTCTCACACCGCCTCCGCGTACGACACCTGCACGCACCACGCACCAGCAGTTACCACCCCTGCGCACTACTCTCACACCGCCTCCGCGTACGACACCTGCACGCACCACGCACCAGCAGTTACCACCCCTGCGCACTACTCTCACACCGCCTCCGCGTACGACACCTGCACGCACCACGCACCCGCAGTTACCACCCCTGCGCACTACTCCACCACCGGCTCCGCGTACGACACCTGCACGCACCACGCACCCGCAGTTACCACCCCTGCGCACTACTCTCAACATCCCCTCCGGTACACTGCATACGTTCTCTTAACATCCCCTCCGTTACACTGCATACGTCCTCTCAACATCCCCTTCGTTACACTGCATACATCCTCTCAACATCCCCTTCGTTACACTGCATACATCCTCTCAACTTCACCTCTGTTACCTTGCATACGTCCTCTCAACATCCCATTCGTTACACGTTCACATTCGTAACGGAAGGGATGTTGAGAGGATGTATACCACATCCTTTCAACATCCCCTCCATTACACTACATACATCCACTCAACATCCCCTTCATTACACTACATACATCCTCTCAACATCCTCTATGTTACACTGTATCATCCTCTCAACTTCTTCCCTTTACACTACATGTCCTTTCAACATCTATTTTACATCACACACATATTGTTAACATCCCCTCCGTTACACTACATACATCCTCTCAACATCCTATGTTACACTGTATTATCCTCTCAACATCCTCTATGTTACACTGTATTATCCTCTCAACATCCCCTCCATTACACTGCACGCATCTCCTCAACACCCTCTCCATTACCATCCCTGAAACTACCCTTATAAAACTCACCAATTGCACAACGGCGTGTCCCAGATTCTCCGCTTCGCTCTTGGCAGCCACCTGGAGAGGTTCCAGTCGCTCCAGCATCTCAGTTGCACTGTTCTCCACTTGTTCTGTGTATCCTGCGCACACAGACATACAAAGATAAGTTTTATTTCGTTTATAATTGATATACATAAACATATGTTTCTTAACAGAGTTTTTTTTTAATTTTCTCACCAATAAATTAATAGTAATATATATTATATCGTAACAATAACGAAAAAATTCTTTATCTATACATATAAATAAAATTGGAGTGTCTGTTTGTAATATTGAAATAACCTTTTATTACTACATACATATGAATATAAATACGGTACATACACCAAAATAACACTTTACAATTTTTGTCTGTCGTCTGTTTATTCCGACTAATCTCTAAAATGGCTGAACCGATTTTAACGCGACTTTTTTTCGTATGTAGCTGATGTAATAAGGAGTAACTTAGGCTACTTTTATTTTAGAAAATAAAGTTATATTTTACGCGGACGAAGTCGCGGGTACAGCTAGTCATTCATAAATTCATAAAATTCTTTGGAGCCATGGGAATCAAATATACGTAAAGAAAATGCAATAAAAACAACCAAATATTATGAAGTAATAAATGAATTAACGAATGTGGTTAATTTATATACGGTTGAAGTGGGAGCGGGAGGTATACCAGCGAAATCTTTCTACAATCTTCTAAAACATCTCGGCCTGTCTACAACTGCAGTAATTCTATACTGGAACGTGTATCAAAAACAGCACTAGCAGGCTCCTACCAGACTTGTGTGGGCAGGCAGAGAAACACGAGCGGTGAAGGTGAGTGTTGACGTACGTCAGCAAGGGGACCTCCAAGTCCCTGGAACTGCTCTAAGTATCCCTCTCTGTCACACGATGGACCCGGAGCCTGTACGGTGAAACCAGAATGGAAAGTTCGTGTCTTCCAGCATCAGTTAGGAAGGTACCCACCTTGCAGCGAGTTGGCCTTCCTGGGCTGCAGCTCCTGGCCAACGGCCTGGAATATACTAAGTCCCGGGGACTGCTCTAAGTATCCTTCTCTGCCACATGATGGACCCGGAGCCCGTACGGTGAAACCAGAATGGAAAGTTCGTGTCTTCCAGCATCAGTTAGGAAGGTACCCACCTTGCAGCGAGTTGGCCTTCCTGGGTTGCAGCTCCTGGCCGACGGCCTGGATGGCGGCCTGGTCCAGCTCCCGCAGCAGTCTGCCCAGCGTCTCCAGCGCCACGCTGCACTCACGCTGTCCTGGCGCCTTCTCTCTGCATTATTAACATTTATTTATTGAACATATAATAGGTGATTAACATGCATTATAATAGGTGATGACCTATGACCATGTTCCTAACATGGTCATAGGTCTTCATGGTCTAGCAGTTTAGCTCATCGCTTTCCTTCCGATGGTCGTGGATTCGATTTCTAATATTTGTTGTATCATACAAGCACTTCATCATTCATGTATACAAATTCAAGTGTATGATTGTTTCAAATTCAAATAAAAAAATAATTTATTCATGCAGGATATTTTAGCCGTTTATGAACGTAAATTTTTTTATTTTACATTTTTTTCCCCATCGTTTATATAGCTCTGGATGTTATCTATGTATATTAGCTATGGAATCGAACCTACAACGATTTGAAGTAAGGCGGTGTGCCAAACCGCTGGACCAATGAGGCTGTCATAAATAAATAGTATCATCATTACACAGTATAAAACAAAGTCGCTGTCTGTCCGTCCCTATGTATGCTTAAATCTTTAAGACTACGCAACGGATTTTGAAGCGGTTTTTTTAATAGATAGACTGATTCAAGAGGAAGGTTTATATATATAATACATGTATACCCGAGCGAAGCCGGGCGAGTAGCTAGTAATTAGTCTATTATTATAAAAAACACCCAGACAAATATAAACAACTTATATTAATGTTTGGATATACATAAAACAAAATATATAATCTTATATATAAAATTCTCGTGTCACAGTTTTCGTTCCCATACTCCTCCGAAACGGCTTGACCGATTCTCATGAAATTTTGTGAGCGTAATAGATGTTGGCCGATTCTCAGACCTGCTCAGTCTGAGAAGCGGCCAACATCTATTTTTCATCCCCCTATATGTTAGGGGTAGTCCACCCCAAAATTTTAATTTTTTATTTTTTACACAAAATTTTTAACTTCTATTTTTTTATGGTACAACATACAAAAATACATACAATCCTAAATTTTCACCCTTCTATCATCAACCCCTATTTTTTTATAGCGTTATTAATTTATATGGCAAAACAACGTTATCCGGGACCGCTAGTAATATATAAATTGATAAAATTTTAGAATAATATTTATCTATATTTAACATTAATGTATGACATTATATAATATCAGGTATACTATATATATTATTATTTGTATATATTTATTTGCATTTCATATATATTATATAATATTTATTAGTAACTTTGTGTTTGTTTTTTGACATAACTGCCCCACAACGCTTTCTGTATACCTGAAGGTTAGCTGGTGGAAAATGCCATATGGCACTAAGCTCGCCTTTTTTTTTTTTTTGCATTAAAGAATAAAATAAAATAAATAAATAGATATATATAATGTGCAGGTACCGTATGTTGGCGACGAGGGACTTGATGCTGTCGGAGACGGTTTTGCTGTGCGCGGCCAGCTGCTGCCACTGCGGCCGCTCCTGAGGAGCCAGCGCCAGCGCTCGGGCCGCCTCCAGCATCGCACACGACCCGGAGATTATGTTCCTGCACACACAACAAACCTTGAGCCGTATGCTTGTTTCAGACCTACGTAGTGTGGATAGAAGAAGAAAGAAAGAAAAACATTTATTGTCAACCATTTTTACATATACATACATACATACACACTTAGAACAATTACAATAATTTATCTTATATTATTTCTAAATATGGTTGGCAACATGGCTGATATCAAGTAACCCTGGACAGTTCACAGTCGTCCAGCCCAAATGTAAGCACAGCATGTGTTGTGGGTACTAGACAACTGATATAAATATTATGTCCTGATAAAAAACTATTCGAAAGTGCTTAAATGAAGTTTTTATGATTAAATGATTTTCTATTCTATTCTATTCTATTCTATTCTATTCCTAACATATTGTTTATCAGGGAATCTTCTTTAAAAACAATAAAAAGTGTAATCACTAAACATATAATGTCTTTATTTTGTAGCTTCCAACCATTACATGCACTTTATAACTGTTATAATATATTTAAATAATAAATATGACAATATATATATTTGCTCTAAAGTTCTCTTTTATTTTTTTTTGGTTCGGTTTTTCCCTTTTTAGGGAAAGGCAAAAGGACTCAGCCCATACAGCCATCTAAAGTTCTCTTCAATCTCTATATAATATTGTCTCTATATAATGTAGTTTTCTTTTTTTATTCCCTATATTCATCTATCTCCTTTTCAATTATGGAACAGGCAAAGATCCTTAGATCGTACAGCCTAGTCTACTTTTAAAATTAGTTTTTAATTTTTGGCGCCAAAATATGTTTACTTTTTATATGGATTTTATGCACACTAAGGAACATCCTATACAGCTATATTGGTATTATACAGTACTCTCTCTCTCTTAATACTGTCTCTTTTACTCACACTCTTAATACAGTCGTACTCATAATTATTTTTATTTATCAATATATAAATCGTAGTATATTTAACACATATGAAATTGGCGTTTTGTAAGGGAGTAACCTAAAGTAAATTTTTTCAAAATCTAAATATATCTAACTCAAAGGACTGACTGACATAGTGATGTCGCACGATCAACGCACAGCCCAAACCATTGGACGGATCGGGCTGAAATTTGGCATGCAGGCAGATGTTATGACGAAGGCTTCCGCTAAGAAAGGATTTTGATTCATTCTACTCCCAAGAGGATAAAATAGGGGATGAAAGTTTGTATGAAACTTTGTCAATTTTAAACCGATCGGGCTGAGACTTTGCATGCATAAAGCTACTATGACGTAGGCACCCCCTAGGAAACAATTTTGATAAATTCCACCCCTAATGCGACAAATTAACGCAAGCAAAAGGCGAAGCCACGGGTAAAAGCTGGTATAATATATTTATTTAATCAAAGTATGTACCATTGCTATTCATACACTTTTGCCACCTTATAGGCAGTCCATTGATCCCTTTACTAAAATCTAGATGGCGCTGTGTGAATTGTCCTGAGATTATTATTATAGTCAGCATATACAGTTAGCAAAGGAGGGAGTACCATTTCTTCATAATGGATACGAAATAGAGTGTATAACGTACCTGCCGCACTCTAGTATGGGCTCCTGGTTCTGCCTGGCCTGCGGAGAGATCCTGGCCGGCACGGATGCGAACTCGGGACTGTCCGCGAACTGACAGAGGCTGCGCACCGCGTCCTGCAGTGGGCCGGTGGCGGCCGCGCACCGTGCACGGTTCGCCTGCACAAGTTTATTGACCTTTAGTATTACACATTATTATTAAACATCATACAATAAATAAATTTAAAGTGTATGTTTGTAGCTTCAAATTTACAAGAGGAGTTATCGTCACGTCCTTGGCGGCCTGCACGAAGTGTCTCTCGGCTGCGGCCCGTCCGGCCGGCCGTATGGTGCGCACTGACCTGGCTGTAGTCCGCGTCGAGCGCCTTGATCTCCTTGACGAGCGCGGCGGTGGAGTTGGCCACGTCCTTGGCGGCCTGCACGAAGTGTCTCTCGGCTGCGGCCCGTCCGGCCGGCCGTATGGTGCGCACTGACCTGGCTGTAGTCCGCGTCGAGCGCCTTGATCTCCTTGACGAGCGCGGCGGTGGAGTTGGCCACGTCCTTGGCGGCCTGCACGAAGTGTCTCTTGGCTGCGGCCCGTCCGGCCGGCCGTATGGTGCGCACTGACCTGGCTGTAGTCCGCGTCGAGCGCCTTGATCTCCTTGACGAGCGCGGCGGTGGAGTTGGCCACGTCCTTGGCGGCCTGCACGAAGTGTCTCTTGGCTGCGGCCTGTCCGCTGCGTCCTGAGGCCACTCGGCACGCGTTACACAGCGCGGACGTGTGCTTCGCTATCACCGTCGCCGCCGACAGCACCTGCCATCACGTCACCACGTCACCACAACATCTTGTCATCACACTATCAAGTTACACCACCATCTTCTCATAGTGATGACCCGGTACATCCGCACCCCACTGAGAGAGTGCAGTCATGATACCATTAAACTACCGCACCATCTTATCATCCCAATGTCTTATTAATACTCATATTTAATGATGAACCAGATCATCCACACCCTTCTAAAAGAATTGCAAGTACGTTGTCGGCCTTTTAAAAAGGAATAAGCTCTTTTCTTGAAGGTTTCAATATCGTATCGGTTCGGAAATACCATTGGAACCGTGATAAACCGGATCATACATAGCCCCAAAGACGGTGCACTCATCATTCTATTAAGATACCATTGCTGGAAGGTGATTCCACAATGTGGTTGTGCGGGGTGAGAAGTTTCTAGAAAACCGCACCGTGGAGGACCGCCATTCTTTCAGATGATCAGGATGGTATTTAATAAAACATAATTTAATAAACCATAGATAGAGCCTGTTGCATTTTCTTGCATAAGTTTTTTTATTTCATTGAATTTGATTCCTTCATCAGGGAGTTCTTTTTTAGAGATTTTGTGCTGTCTTAATTGCTTAGTCTGAGACCTGTAGCACTGAATCTCTGCTATGAGTACTAAACAACTGATTTATATATACATATATACACATAGACAACATCCAGATCAACACAAACAACACTCATACAAATTGCACAGTGAAATTATTCGAACACGCGACTATGTGCAGTAAAACGTTGTGCTAAACCTATAAACCATCGAGGCCTATACATATCCTGGACATTATGATGGCAGGAGATCTCAATCATAAAATCCGTAGCTAAGGTACCTGGTTCTGGTCGCTGGCGGGGTCCGCCAGGGCTCTGCAGGCCAGGTCGATGGCAGCAGCCGCACGAGCAAAACCTGCCTGGTCCACCAGGCCGGGCCTGCCGGCTACGCTGCTCTCGTCGGACACCGCCACCTGTAACAAGGGACTCCTGCAGTCCACACTCCACACTAGACTATATCTTGGGGGATAGGAGATTTTTCATATTGTGGATTGATGATTCCATTGCTACTAAAGTACCATTATCAGGCTGTCATCCACATTCCCCTGGAGTCCTTACTAATATTACAAATACGATAATAACTCTGTCTGTCTGGCCAAAACTACTGCACAGATTTAAATAAAATTTGGTATACAGATAGTCTAGACCCTGAGAAAGGACATAGTGTTACTACGCAATGTATGGTGGCGAGGATCAAGGTGCGGGATCAGCTCGGTGATCGCAGCGGCTGGTCGGCGATCGCTCCTCAATGCCGTCACGAGCGGCTACAAGGACGCGCGTCGTCACTTCTCTTATTCAATTCATCATTGCCTTGCCTTTATCCCATTATTTGGGGTCGGCGCAGTATGTCATTCTCTTCCACTGCTCTCTATCAGTCGTCATATCTAAACATACTCTTCCTTTATTCATATCATCTTTCACACAATCCATCCATCTTTTCTTAGGGCGTCCCCTCCCTTTACATCCATCCACATTCATATTATACACTTTCCATAAGACATGGTCCTCATTCCTCCGCATAACATGCCCATACCAGCTCAATCTGTTACCTCGCAACTTTTCTATAACCGGCGCAACTTTCAAACTTCCTCGTATATACTCATTCCTTATTCTGTCATTCCTGGTGACCCCACACATCCATCTTAATATTTGCATTTCTGCCACATGCACACGCCTTTCGTCCATCCCCTTTACGGCCCAACATTCAGATCCATACAAAATGACAGGTCTTATGATAGATTTATAAACTTTACTTTTACTTCTCTTATTCAATTAATAATTTAAATTCGCAATATTTTGCAATACATTATGTTTAAACATATCTACAGTCCGCTTTTATTGAAGAAACCTTAAGGACCTTGACACATAGGCTACTTACTTTTTTTTAATGCGATTACGGGTTGTAAGGGGTTGAAAGAGGAGATGAAACGTTCTATGGAAGTATCGTAAGTTTTAAAGCTAGAAGCTTGAAACTTATTTTATAAGCTATCAATATGACATTTAAATTTTTATTTACGAATTTTACCCTTAAAATAAAATAAGGGATGAAATGGAAATTCCTCATCCTTTATTCCTTACGAACGAAGTCGCAGGCACAGCTAGTGATATTATAAACGCGAAAGTTTATGAGTATTGATGTTCGTTACTTTTTCACGCAGAAACTACTGAACGGATTTTGATGAAACTTTATAGTAATACAGCTTATGCATCATAATAATATAAAAGCTATATTCTTAAGATTTAAAGCGAGTGAAACCGCAGGCACAGCTAGTTACTGTATATTATGACTTGCCACACTTTTTTACTTTGCTTAACAAATGAAATATGAAAAAAAATTTTTCAAATTCAAAATATCTTTATTCATGTAGGTCTATTACAGACTCTAATGATATGTCAAATCTACCGTCAGTTCGGAATGATTTCGAGATGAGAAGAAATCACAAGAAACTCAGCTCGTATTTTTTTCAAACAATAGTGGAACATGTTTATAATAATATACAGTCATTAAAATTCAAATTTGGGAGAATAGAGTGATAAATAAGGCCGAAAAAGAGATGGATGGACTGTGTGAAAGATGATATGGTAAGAAAGGAAGTAAATAACGAGATGACTGCGAACAGGGATGAATGGAAGAGAAAAACATATTACGACGACCACAAATAAATGGGATAAGGAAGAAGCAGATGATATCGTAACTGCGTAATATGTACCACGCGGTAATTGTAGGATGTGATAAAGGGAGAATAACGAGATGACTGCGAACAGAGATGAATGGAAGAGAAAAACATATTACGACGACTACAAATAAATGGGATACGGAAGAAGCAGATGATGATGAGAGTGATAAAATAAATATTATGAGTGGTTGTTACCAGGTATGCGGCCTGCGCGGTAGACTCGACGAGACCCTGGACGGAGGTGGCCACGGCCGTCACCGACTTGGCGAACTGCTCGTAATCAGATTTCTTGACCGCTGAAGCCATGCCCGACATGCCTTCACCTGTTTCAAATTTACATACCATTAATTAAATATAATCATAATAAAACATCTAAAGTAATTTTTAATACAGGAAAGGTTAAAAAAAAATTGAAATGGCTACAAGTTATTTGGCCAACATGATAATATAGTATCATGTTTAGGGAGAGAGGGATAAAGGGGGGAGACAATGAGGGATAAGATAGAGGAGAGGGTGGCGAGGGATAAGGGGAGAGAGAGAAAGAGCAGAGTATACTGACTGAGCCCCTTGCTCTGGTCGACGAGCGCGTCGAGGCAGGCGAAGTATCCGAGGTCCGCCAGTGGCTGTGTGGGCGCGTTCAGCAGCGGACGAGTGCTGAGGATGCTGCGGACTGCTGCAGCGCACTCCTTCTGTCCCGGCGCGGCGTGAGTACACACGTCCACCTGCGGGACCATCCTCCGTCACTCACACTTGTACACACCGAGCCGGTTGTAACCAATCCGATCAAAATGCATTTTTTGTAATTTCGTTATCTCATCTAGGAGTTGACTACACAATAAAAAACCACAGATCAGTTACTCTTTTTTGTATTTATATAACTTTATTGCACTAAATTTCAAACTATATATGGCATTATCTACTAGTCAAAGAAAAAGAAGCGGGTCTTTTTTTAGATTTCAGTTCAGCGTTTGATGCTATCGACCATACTATATCCTATTCCTTTATAAAAACTTGAACATTACTATATCCGAGGTAACTCGTTAAAACTCTTTCAATCGTACTTAACATACAACAATTAGTAGAAATTATTCATTAATGTATGTGAAACAACAGTAAAATCTAAAATCGAGCAAATAACGAGAGGTGTACCACAAGGATCCATTTTAGGACCAATGTAGTTTATTTGTGTAATATTTTTATTAATGATTTGATAACATATTTGAAGATGATTGATTTGATTTGATTGATTGACTGATTAAAGATTGATCCTGAATCAATCATTTTTGCTGATACTATAGCTAATATTTCAGATAGTAACATGAGTATATTACTATTAAGGACAATATCAATCACATCAAGCTTTCAGGAAACATTTTTGCAAAACCAGTCCATAGGTTCCGAAATAAGATGCCACAAACAGATAGAGACGTAAAACATATAGATATAATATATTAGTTAAAAAACACTTACAAGGCGGTTGATGCTCTCAGTGACTGCACGCGCGGCGCTTGCTAGCTGGTTCTTGGCATTTGGACGCGTCAAGTCCTGATGAAACAAGATAAACATTACGCATACTGAAAAATATATTACACTAACTGAGCACGCGGTTTCACCTGCGTAAATTTATTGCGCACCTGCGTTATTCTGATGTATAACCTATTGATATCACAAGGTCCTAAGTGTCCTAAAACGCCTACAAACACACTACACTCGTGTATACAAGGGTTATAATTCTTTTTCATATCAAGCATAAGAATTTTATAATATATAATATTATTAAAAACAGTAATAAAAAATACGAAGTTTACAAAACGAAATAATAGCACGTTGTAATTTTGTCACATCGCCATCTATTGGCGGTGCATGCAAAACAAAAATATTTTATTTATTATTATTTTTATATTGAGTACTTAATAGTTAATCATTTTAGCGCAAAATTAATACGTTTATATATTGGAATAAATATTAAACTTTTAATGTTATCACTCGTTAATAAGGCAAATGAAAGATATTTAAAATTTCACCGAAATTGTACGTCGGTTCAAAGTCACATCGCCTATTCGATCCTCGATCGACCTATCTGAAACTCCTATCATCATCATCATCATCATCGCAGCCCGGAAGACGTCCACTGCTGGACATAGGCCTCCCCCAAAGATCTCCACGACGATCGGTCCTGCGCTGCTCGCATCCGATGCCTTCCAGCGATTTTGACCAGATCATCGGTCCACCTGAAACTCCTAAGCTAACTGTTCTGACCAGATCATCGGTCCACCTGAAACTCCTAACCTAATTGAAAACCTGTAGAACGACACATAATATATCTGCTTACCTGACTGACAAATTTGGCGGTGCCGAGTAACTTTGACGAGTTGACCGTCACTGACTTCATGGAGCTCACCATCACCGTCTGCGACTCCTGGTCCTAGAGACGAACGAACACAATTAAAAAAAAATTGGGGAATGGCTGTGTCGTGGACACGGCCGTGAGTTTTACGTGTATACGTAGATATACTTAACGTGTGATATGATGTGATACTTATCAGTCAAGTCAAGTCAATATGTCTGATATGAGCTGATGTAATAAGGAGTAACTTAGGCTACTTTCATTTTAGAAAATAAAGTTAAATTCCACGCGGATGATATATATTATAATATTAATACTAGATTTAAAGACAAACTTGCTGTCCCCAAGTATCGTTTAGAAAAAGTCAATAGGTCTTTTATGGGAATAGGTATAAAAATTTACAATAAGATACCAAAGGATATATTGGAATTACTCTTAAATAAATTCAAAACATCTGATAAATCATATTTACTGAGCAAAGCCTATTACTCACTAAACGATTACTTGAATGACGAGCGTGCATGGCAATAGTTGTTCATGTACGGGATTTTCATTTAATGTTAGACATAGACAGAAGAATATAACCTACATAAGCATAAAATGAAAAGATATTCAGTTGAGTTTCTTGCCAGTTCTTCTCAATTGAATCTGTATACTGAACTGGACGGGGAAAAATATTAATACAAAAAACTTGACGTTCATAAGCGGCTAAAATGTCCTACATGTATAAATGATTTTCGATTTGATAATATATAAGGATGTACCTCGGTCTGTCCGGCCATCTCCATGGAGACTGCGAGCAGCCTGTTGAAGGCGTCCCCGAAGCGTTGGGAGGAGGCCGCGAGCTGGTCGCTGCGGCCGACCCCCTGCACCACCTCCGACGACGCCGAGCTCAGCCCCACCGCTGCAGAGTTCAGCTCCGTTTGCAGTTCACTTTAGTAACAAAAAAAGAACATTCTAAATGTTAATATTGCTTAAAACATGACTTATGTTTATCTCATTATTTGTGGTCGGCGCAGTATGTCATTCTCTTCCACTGATCTCTATCGGTCGTCATATCTGAGCATACCTCTCCTTTTATACATATCATCTTTCACATACTTACCTTACAGCCTTATTACAAAAATATAAACCTGGTTTAGCACTAGTAATAAACCATTCACCAATGTATTCCTTATTACAAAATGAAGTTTATCTCTAAATCGTGATTCGTCTATGGTCTAAAGTTAGACCTGCGATGCCCCTAGTTTAACAGTGGTCTAAATGCAAAAATATTAAAAATTCTATTGTTAGTTGTAGTTTTTAGAAAAATAGTTTAACTAAATTAAAAATTTATTAACTAAAAATATTTAAAGCAAATTTTACGACAATAAAAATATATAAAAGACGTTATTTGTTATTTTTTCACTCATTTGACTTTGAAATAGTCACCATTCGAACGATCCAATAAAAATATCTCGCCGTTCCTTTTCTCCGTATAGGACTCCTACTTGTAATTTAAAACTGATTTTCAGCCATGAAATAGTTATAATGAAGACATAGATAAATAGAAATAAATTTATTTTTAGTTTATACATTTTTCTTTGAACTAATATTATTTTTGATCTTTTCAGTTTTCTGGTAAAATGGAACGTAATTGTACGGTGACAGACATGAGTGACTGATTTCTGTATGGAATACATAATGAACGATTTAACTGTAGTACTAAGTAGTCCTCTGTTAGATCTGGATTCGTAATAATGTTAGGTTTATTCCAAGTATTAACATTAGGAATGGTTTAAACCACGACCATTTAGACCACGTTTCGTCCGAGTTTTAACAGATTTTTTTGTAATAAGACCGTTAAAATCTTAGTCGCGTGTAAGAGTTAGGTCGGATTTCACCAAAGAAACTGATCACGTTTAGTTCGTATTGAACGCCATCAAAACGTTTGAACGTGTTCAAATCTTCATTTTGCATTTCACCGCTACAAATTTCGCTAAACACGTTTATAAATTCTGAACGTCTGATTTCCTACAGTTAACTCTTTAACCGTATTTAAAGCAGTTGTCGGTTGTCAAACAGTCATCAATCAAATTTTTGACAATACAATATCGGGAGTAAAAAGAAAATTGCCAGTAGTGTAAAAAAAATCCTCAATAAAATATTTTTTTACTAGTTTATAGGTAAAGTTGTTTTATACTTTGTAGTCGACGGTACTCACTAAATTAAAAATTAATAAACTTATCCTAATTATCACATGATTGAATTACAAATATTTCTTAGAATTATTTTATTTAAATTACCCATTACATCAAATATTATTTTATGAGCGTGTAACACTGAACGAATGAAAATCTAAACTTCATTAAACATTCTATTGGTAAACGCGATCTGTATAACGCTGGTGAATTCCATTTAAAGTAAAACGAGATCAACGTCATTCTTTTTTTCGAGTTCACGCTGAACTCCGTTTCCTTGAACGTGTTTATGCTACGATTGGATCCGACCTTAGTGTCATATAAATGTAATTTACTCACCCATAAGGCCGTTCGGATGGCGGGAACTCGCCGCTGTTGAGTATATTGAGGGTCTCGTTGATGTTCTCCATGGCGAGGTCCAGTTCAGCGTGAGAAGGCACCGCTTCCAACGTCTGCTCCAAGCTCTGCAACCAAGCAGAAATAATATTATATTGACATGAATTAAATTAATGACATATTGTAATTTAAATATTGTAATGGGTGAAAACTGTGATTGGTACAGTTGATGCTGTAAATAATATAAATGACGTAGTGGAGTAACTTGAAACAGTCATGCTCGCTATAAAGTTCAAACTTGTGGCGGCGTGGTGGGCCGGGTCGATGTGCTCCTTCTAATATGGTTGAGTGCAATAATGGCTGGCTCATCCGTCATACTCGTGAACGGGTGCTGCTTGTGGGGACTGGTCTGTTCAGGTTGCGAACACTGATTAGATTTTTTGTTTTTGCAATAGCATATGCTGGTGGTCACTCTATTCTCCCAAATTTGAATTTAAATGAAATAGTATTATTACATTATATACGAGCTGAGTTTCTTGTCAGTTCTTCTCATCTCGAAATCATTCCGAACTGACGGTAGATTTGACATATCATAAGTCTGTAATAGACCTACATGAATAAAGAAGAAAAACAAAAAGAGTATGATTGTTTGGTCTGGGTGTTTGTTATGTAAATCTTATATATAAAATTCTCGTGTCACAGTTTTCGTTCCCATACTCCTCCGTAACGGCTTGACCGATTCTCATGAAATTTTGTGAGCGTATTGAGTAGGTCTGAGAATCGGCCAACATCTATTTCTCATCCCCCTAAATGTTAGGGGTAGTCCACCCCTAATTTTCTTTTTTTGGCAAAACAACGTTTGCCGTTACAGCTAGTTATGTATGTATTTACAAAAAAAAAAAGTATTTGTTTCAATTGTCTAGTACTCATAACACAAGTTCTGCTTACCGTGGGACTAGATGACGCTGTATGAATTATAGAGGGTCATTATTTATGATTACAGATTGTAGAATAGAATAGAAAGAAGCAACTAACTTGAGATAGATCCTTGGCTATGGACACGATGGAGGCTGTGTCGACTTGTTCCGACGTGTTCAGGTAGTGTTTGACCGTCTCCACCAGCGTCAGGGACGAGTGTAGCACTTGGCGGCCTGATGAGATCACCCTGGTGACATTATAATAATCATAGTTATAATAATCATAGATTAGTTATATTAATCATATCTCAGGACTAGCTTTTGCTTGCGGCTTCGCTCGCGTTAATTTATGCCCTTAGGGGTGGAATTTATCAAAATCCTTTCTTAGGGGATGCCTACATCATAGTAGCTTTATGCATGCAAAATAGCAGACCGATCGGAATAAAACTGACAAAGTTTCATACAAACTTTCATCCCCTATTTTATTCCTTTGGGGGTAGAATTAATCAAAATCCTTTCTTAGCGGATGCCTACGTCATAACATCTACCTGGATGTCAAATTTCAGCCCGATCTGTCTAGTGGTTTGGGCTGTGCGTTGATAGATCATTCCATCAGTCACCTTGAGTTATATATATTTAGAAGGATAAGATCTGTTTATACATTCTTGTATATACCAACCAGGGGACAAACGAGCTTACGGCTCACCTGATGGTAAGAGACTACCACTTCTCATGAGCACCCGCAACACCAGGGGAATTGCAAGTGTGTTGTTGGCCTTTTAAGAAAGAAGAAGTATCTTTTTTTTCTACAAGTGCCACTTTCAGTACTTGTTTCAATTTATATTGCTCGGCACGTCAGCGGACGGCCTTCGAGAGACATATCAGGATAATAGCAAGTGCGTCGCTGGCCTTTTAAGAAGGAAGAAATTATTTTTTTTCTACATGTCCAACTTTAAGTCCTCGTGAGTATCCTTAAGAATTCTTATCTCTCGGCACGTCAGCGGACGGCCTTCGAGAGGTGGTGTCCGGTGGTGTCCGGTGGTGTCCGGTGGTGTCGTTACCTGTCCGGCGGGCGGTCGTGCAGCGCCACGTGCGCGCGCAGCCCGGACGAGAACTCCCTGAGCGCGGCGGCCAGGGCTCCGCCCCCGCGCGCGCAGGCCCCGGGCTCCGCCAGCCGCGCGCCCGACACCAGCGCCGCCGCCGCCGCGCCCGCCGCCCGCCCGCCAGACGTCATGCTCGACGACGCCCACTCCAGCTGACCGCAAACCGACCATTTCATTATAGCTGCCCGTCGTCATACTCGGCGACTCCCATTACACCTCACCACACGCGCACACACTATATAATTTCTTTGACTACCCACCGTCATACTCGGCGACGTACACTCCGCTCGACCACACAAACACACGACATCGCTTATAGCTACCCGCCATCATGCTGGACGACGCCCACTCCAACTGACACACATACACATACTATATCATTTATAACTACCCACCGTCATACTCGACGACGCTCACTCCGCTCGACCACACAAACACACGACATCGCTTATAGCTACCCGCCATCATGCTGGACGACGCCCACTCCAACTGACACACATACACATACTATATCATTTATAACTACCCACCGTCATACTCGGCGACGTACACTCCGCTCGACCACACAAACACACGACATCGCTTATAGCTACCCGCCATCATGCTGGACGACGCCCACTCCAACTGACACACATACACATACTATATCATTTTGTTTGACTCCCGCACCATCATACTCGACGACACCCACCTCTCCTAACCACACATATACACACAAACAACAATCATTGCTTCAGAGATTGCTTTAAGCGATAAGGCCGCCTTGTTTGCATATCCTTCTTTTTTTTATTTCCTTTTTGTAACTATTTGTTTCTTTTATGCATAATCAAGAGTTTTATTATTATTATTATCATTTATGACCATCGTCATACACGACCACACCCACTCGCCTAACAACACGCACATACATCATCATCATCATAATATCTTTATGACTACCCGTCGTCATACTCGACGACGCCTACTCCGCCTGATACACTAGCACAAAACATTCATTTATGGTTACCCACTCTCGTGCTCCACGACGCCCGACTCCGACCATACAAACACACACTATATAATTTATCTAATTATATTAAATCAAAGTAATTCCATTAAAAGTATATATTGACTGACTATGTTATTACATCTAACTGCCATTGAATCCTAAATCAACGAGCTTATTGTTAACCAGCTGTTCCCACAACTTCGTCCGAGTGGAATATTACTTTATTTTTCTAAAATAAAGGTAACCTAAATTACTCCTTATTACACCAGCTACCTGCCAAAAAAAAGTCCCGTCAAAATCGGTTCAGCCAATTCAGAGATTAGCCGGAACAAACAGACAGACTGACAAAAATTGTAAAAAATGTTACTTTGGTGTATGTACCGTATTTATATTCATATGCATGTAGTAAAAAACGATTATTTCAATATTACAAACAGACACTAAAATTTTATTTATATGTATAGATGTATAGATTATAAGATGACCGAAAAAGAGATGGATGGACTGTGTGAAAGATGATATGGTAAGAAAGGGAGTAAAGGAGATGACTGCGAACAGAGATGAATGGAAGAGAAAAACATATTACGACGACCACAAATAAATGGGATAAGGAAGAAGCAGATGATATCGTAACTGCGTAATATGTACGACGCGGTAATTGTAGGATGTGATAAAGGGAGAATAACGAGATGACTGCGAACAGAGATGAATGGAAGAGAAAAACATTACGACGACCACAAATAAGTGGCATAAGGAAGAAGCAGATGATGGATGAGATGTATAGATTATACTCTCTATAACTTTTCCCTGCGACATATTAGCATGGCCGCTGTACAAGGCATCTCCGGTACTGCCATCCACATAACAATGGATGTTGTTGACTTGTAACATTTTCTTTTTATGTAAAACAGGGGACAAGCGAGCATGCGGCTCACCTGATGGTAAGTGATTACCGCCGTCCATGAGCACCCGCAACACCAGGGGAAATGCAAGTACGTTGTCGGCCTTTTAAAAAGGAATAAGCTCTTTTCTTGAAGGTTTCAATATCGTATCGGTTCGGAAATACTATTGCTGGAAGGTGATTCCACAATGTGGTTGTGCGTGGCAAAAAGTTTCTAGAAAACCGTACTGTGGAAGACCGCCATTCATCCAGATGATCAGGATGGTATTTCTTGATGATGGTAGTTTTTGATGGATTGTATAGATTATACAGTAATACATCACTATTACTATATATGTACAACGACACTCACCGTTTGTCCGGGCAGCGGTCGCAGTTCCAAGGCTCTGGCAGCCTCTTCCAATTCATCCAGCTCCGCTTGCAGGGATTTGATGATCTCCGCCGCAGCATCCAACTCCAGACCCTTGCACGAGATGCGTGCTCGGCTCACCGCCGATCTAATCATTAACAATATACATTTAACTAGTTGACCCTGCAAACTCCATTCCGCCTTAAAATTAAATATGTCAAAGTTTTTTGAAGTTTAGTTACGCATTAAATTTCTGAACGCACCCTGTTTGACAGGTATCAGCAGTTTGTATGGGAAAATAAAATTGTTGTTTTTTTTATCTCAGGACAATTCACACAGCGCCATCTAGTCCCAAGTTACGCTAGCTAAAGCTTGTGTTACGGGTACTAGATAACAGATACAAATACATAGATTGTTTTTCGTAAATACATACATATTATACATAGAAAACACCCAGACCGATACGAACAATCATGCTTATGCATACAAATGTTTGTGCTGTGCGAGGAATCGAACCCGCGACCATCGGACGTAAAGAGGTGTGCTAGACCGCTAGACCACCGAGGTCGTCGCAGTTTTACTATTCTACAAGCAATTTCAAAGAATCCTATTGACGGATACAAGTTTATATAATAATACTTAATTTATTTTCTCTACAAAGAATTTCTATAGTTATATATTTTAGGGTTCACATCAATATTGTAGAAAAATCCGATATTTTAAAATGATATTAAAAGAAGGTAGTTTGTGTTTAGTACTAATGAAGTACCCAATGTACAGATTATTACAAATATTGTAAATAGCGCCATCTAGTATTTATAGACCGAACTAAGTTGTTTGTCATAAGATATCCATTACCCCCGCTTCTCTTCCTACTACACTGACTTCGGTCTATAAATACGGAGGTCGGTAGTTGAATAATCCTCTTTCGTTGGATGAACTGCGGCATTCAGTCGACGAGCGCAGAGCGTGCCGGTTGTGTTTTGGATACTAAAGTGAATTGTATTAGAAATGGGTTTATCCCGGTTTTAGTTGGGCCTGGGGGGAAGCTGCAAGTAGTGAAGGTGAGTGTTAATGCATTCTAAAAGGGCCTTTTAAACCTACACCCGTGTCACAAGTCACGGGCGCTACTTGGGGTTTCTCTTGCGGTAGCCGGGTTCAAAGCCTGAGTCGTCATCATTTACTAGTGCTTCTTCCCAAACGGTTATATCAATCTATATGTAGGTTGATATAACCGTTTGGGTATAGACAAATCACGACAAATGTTTGTCGTGCGGGAATCGAATCGAAAAGGTAGTGTCGGTGAGGTTACCGGAGGTCTGCGGCGGCGTCCCCGAAGCGGTGGGTGGTGTCCGCGAGGAGGTGCGCCGCCGAGGAGTCCGCCACCGTCGGCAGCGCCGCACGCGCGGACGACACTGCGTGCCCGCTCACCTGATATTTTTTTTTTTTTTTAAATAAAAGTAGCCAATTTACTCCTTACTACATCAGCTACATGCCAATAAAAGTCCCGGCAAAATCGGTCCAGTCATCTCAGAGATTAGCCGGAACAAACAGACAGGCAGACAAAAATTGTAAAAATGTTATTTGGTGTATGTACAGTGTTTATATTCATATGCGTGTAGTAAAAAACGGTTACTTCAATATTACAAACAGACACTCCAATTTTATTTGTATGTACATATACATAGAAAATACCGTCATACTCGTGAACAGGTGCTGCTTGGTCTGCTCTAATCACTATGACTGATTTCCTCTTATTAATTGTTTAACCAGTTGGTTATATATTCAATATTTTTTCTATTTGAGTATTTAATAGAATTAGTGCTAATTGGTGGTTTGTATTCACACACTTAAACTTAAAAATGTAAAGTAAGAATAAAATTATTTAAAAGAGCAACACGCAAGTTTCTTGCTCGTTCTTCTTGTGATGAGACAGCTTTCCGAATGAGCGGTAGATTAAAAAAAATGTGATGTCTATTCAAAAGTGATTCAATGTTTGAATAAATGATTTTCTATTCTATTCTTAAGTTAATTTCATTATTCAGATATTTTTATTTGTTCAATGTCACGATTCCACGCGGACAAAGTCGCGAGCAGCTATATTACTATATTTACGTTACCTGCAAGAACTGCTCAGATGCTGAGATGAGATCGAGCTGATCTGCCGCGCGGCCCGGCCTGGCTGCTGCCGCCTGAGCAGCATCCACCAGTCTTGGAATCGATTCTCCTAACGTCTTACACTCTGTTGTCAGGGTTTCCTAAATAAAACAATATAATAATAATATCCTGGACGAAAATGTTGAAATTTGAAAAAAATGAACATGAAAAAGTATCCCTTTTATTAAACAAAAAAATATATTTAATGGATTCAATGCGAGCGAAGCCGCGGGTAAAAGTGAGTAAGAAATGAGTAGTAGATACAAAGATGATTGTTAATACTAACTTGCGAATACTTGTTGGTGTTGAACTGAGCGGTGTTGTGAGCTGACGTGATCAGTTGCGTCGCGCTGGAGGCTGCGTGGCGAGCGCTCTCCTAAACAAACATTCACAAAACGTTTATATTAATTTTAGGGTTGGTCTGCCTCAAGGCAGGATTTTGGTCCATTTATATTAAACTCAAGGTTGGTCTGCCTTAAGGCAATATTTGGGCCCTTTGTTATTGCATTTATATTAAAATCAAGTTTGGTCTGCCTCAAGGCAGCATTTTGGGTTCTTTATTTGTTATTGCATTTATATTAAACTTAAGTTTGGTCTGCTTCTAGGCAGCATTTTGGTCCATTTGTTATTGCATTTATATTAAACTTAAGTTTGGTCTGCCTCAAGGCAGCATTTTGGTCCATTTGTTATTGCATTTATATTAAACTTAAGTTTAGTCTGCCTCAAGGAAGAATTTTGGTCCATTTGTTATTGCATTTATAATAAACTCAAGGTTGGGTCTTTCACAAGTTCCTTTTTTATTATTGCATATATTAATGATTTGTCTAATACTATTAATTGGGAATATGCATTGTGTGTAGATGTTATTACTGATTCAGGATAAAAACGAAACATCTTATGAAACGAAAATTAGTAACCAACTAATATCGGTAACAAACTGGCTAAAAGCAAACAATTTGAACTTTAATACGAATAAAAGAAAGATTGTATATATATAAATATGACACAGAGGCTAAATAGATTGGAGACAAATGTTGAGGTATGACTCTTACCTGCAGTCTGGCGACCTGTGACCCGACGATGTCCTGCCCTTGTGCGTAGTCAGTGGTGATGTACCGCAACTCCTCCGCCGCCTTGCGGAGCGCTTCCTGCTTCTCACGGTCCTGTTCGTTAACAAAACATAACATCACTCATTGGACTTTCTACAATATGGTTGAGGGCCGTGATGACTGGCTCACCCGTTACGCTCATGCTGTGCTGTGCATGGTTGCTGCTTGTAGGGACAGGTCTGCTCAGATCGACTGATTTATTTTGTTACTCAAGTAACTATTCATTTATTTATATCAACTTTGCTTTGTAGCAATTTGTATTCACACAAATTACTAAAAATTCTGAACATCATATTGCACTACTCACACAATATTCTTAAAAATGTAATTATGTACAGATAATGTATTAACAATATGTATTTAAAAGAGCAACACGCAAGTTTCTTGTTCGTATTTGTGACGAGTCTCTGTTCTCAATAAGTGGTAGAAAAAGAAATATGACTACTCAAAAGTGTTTATATTAAATTAAATTTAATAAATATTATTTCTATTTCTACGGTGTTTGCATTGATCACCTCTAATATAAAGGTTGGCCACCCTGAGTACGTGTAGTAATTTGAGTTAGTTATAACGCTGGCAACATTACGTACCTGTGGTGCGGAGGCGCACTGCCTGGCCGCCTCCACCATGCGAGCTGTAGCGTCGGCCAGCAGCTTGGCCGCCGCCAGCAGCTTGCGCTGCGACTCTGAGGGCTGTTTCTCTGCCTCCGTCTATTACAAACAACACTATCTTTATAATATCCCACTGCCATTAGTTGAGGGTGTTGCTGGGGGAGATACGTCGCGGTGAAGGTGAAGTAGAAGGTAGTGCACTGGGCACTACCCAGACGTAGTGTATTCAGAAGAGAATTTTAGGAGGCCGTGGAAGATCGCGTTTCAGTGGCATCGAAGGCGAGAGGACTGATGACGCTCAAGAAAACGAGACACCGTAGAAGAAGTCCTACCCGAGGTCTACGTAGAGGTCAAGAGACTGGTCTGGAATGGTCATGGGTTGTTGGAGGGTGTCCTAGGTTGAGGTACTTTCTGGACGTGGCTATTAGATTGGCATCTGTGGGTCGAGCCCGATTACATCACAGTTACTGACTGGACACGGCTGCTTCGGTAAGCGACTGCACGCCATAAGTCCCTACAAGTCGAGAGGCTGCAGCTGCGGAGAGTCGAGGGACCTCCACATTTTGTGGGAGTGCTCGCTCTATTCCTACCTAAGCGGGAAGCTCCTAGACGAGATACGTCGCGGTGAAGGTGAAGGAGATCCAATATACTACCCATACTTGGTGTCCTCAGAACAGAATTGAGGAGAATTTTAGAAGGCCGTGGGAGATCGTGTTTCAGTGGCACCGGTGGCAGACTACGAGAGGACTGAATGTGATATGCGTAAAAAAAAGGAGAGGAAGTGCTACCAGGCTCCGAAGCCGTTAATGTTTCTTCCGTTGCCCCAGAAGAGTGCGACCAGAGGTACAGGAGTAGAGATAATTTGTAGGGGTCAAGAGAATGCGTGATTTTCAGCGCCAGATTCGGCCAGTATAACCGCGAGGTTGGTGGAGGCTTGTCCTAAGTTCATTCGATCCCGCGACTTCGGTAATAGGCGCTTCGAGATACCTTGGAGTTTTTAGTGAGTAGGAGTCTCACAGTACCCGCTGTATAAGTTGTCTATTATCCATAACACAAGCTCTGCTTTGCTTGGGGTTAGACGGCGCTGTGTGATCTGAGATATTATTATTATTACAAACAATAATTTCGCCATAAAAATTTGTTTTTATAATATAACTAGTTGTACCCGCTTTGTTCGCGTGGAATTTAACTTTATTTTTCTGAAATATAGGTAGTCTAAGTTACTCCTTATTACATCAGTACCTGCCAATAAAAGTCCCGGCAAAATCGGTCCAGCCATTTCGGTGATTAGCCAGAACAAACAGACAGGCAGATAAAAATCGTAAAAAATGTTATTTTGGCGTATGTATTTATATTGATATGCATGTAGTAAACAACGGTTATTTCAATATTACAAACAGACACTACAATTGTATTAACATGTATAGAGGTAGAGATGACCGCAGCGTGTACCTTGATGTCGGTGATGAGGTGGGCGGTGGCCTGTCCGAGGAGGCGGGCGTGGTGCACCATGTCGGTGGGGTCGGCCGACACCACCACGCGCTCGCTCGCGGTCAGCACGCTCTCCACGCGCTCGCTGCCCTGCCTCGCCGCGCCGCGCCGCTCTGTACCGACAGTGTCACCTCACCGGTGAGATATGCTACTCAAACTATACGGTAATGAGCTATCACGCTTACCCCGTCGAGGGGAGAAAGTTATATATCATTACATACTATGAAACAAAGTCGCTGTCGCCGTCTGTCCGTCCCTATGTATGCTTAAATCTTTAAAACTACGCAACGGATTTTCAAGCGGTTTTTTTAATATATAGAGTGAATCAAAAAGGTTTATATATATAATACATGTACAACATATACACCCGGGCGGAGCCGAGGCGAATAACTAGTAGAATATAAAAGTCTCGTGTTACAGGTTTCGTGTTTATACTTCTCCGAAACGACTGGACCGATTTTGATGAAATTTTATATGTATATTCAGTAGGTCTGAGAATAGGTTTATAACTAATTTTTATACCCCTAAGTATTAAGGGTGGCTCACCACAAAAAAATCTTCTTTTCGACAAAACTTGTTATTTTTATTTTTTATTATATGACATTAAATATATACAACCCAAAATTTGCACCCTTCTACCACCAACCCCTCTTTTTTACAGCTATTGTAACTTAATAGCAATACAACGTATGCCGGGACACTAAATTTAATTATTAATTAATTAAATTATTATTATATTTATATATTCATCTGACCTTGGTGACAGTGCGCCAGCAGCCTCTCCAGCTCCTCGGTGACCCTGTGAGCCGCCGCCACCAGCTGCTCCACCAGGGGCTGTTCCTGTGCCGGCCGCGCCGCCTCCACCAGCCGGTCCACGGCCTGCGCCACCTGACGAGCCGCGCTCAGCAGCTGCTCCCGGCACGCCGGGTTGTGAAGAGTTGGGGCTACCACCTGGTGGAACGAATTCAGATAATGTTTATACAATTTTAAGCATTTCTAAAGAGTTATAATTTTTTAATATATATGTTAGAGTTCCCATCAATATTGTAGAAAAATCCGATATTTTAAAATGATATTAAAAGAAGGTAGTTTGTGTTTAGTACTAATGAAGTACCCAATGTACAGATTATTACAAATATTGTAAATAGCGCCATCTAGTATTTATATCCCGAACTAAGTTATTTGTCATAAGATATCCATTACCCCCGCTTCTCTTCCTACTACACTGACTTCGGTCTATAAATACGGAGGTCGGTAGTTGAATAATCCTCTTGCGTTGAATAAGTCACGGCATTCGTTCGACGTGCGCAGAGCGTGCCGGTTGTGTTTTGGATACTAAAGTGAATTGTATTAGAAATGGGTTTATCCCGGTCTTAGTTGGGCCTGGGGGGAAGCTGCAAGTAGTGAAGGTGATTTTTAATGCATTCTAAAAGGGCCTTTTAAACCTACACCCGTGTCACAAGTCACGGGCGCTACTTGGGGTTTCTCTTCCGGTAACTATCATCAAAGCCTAAGTCATAATCATAATTAGTGCTTCTTACATATATCAAAAATTGTAGCCTACCTTGGCACATGCGACCAGTTGACTGGTAGCCAGCGCGCAGTGCGTTGCTGCAGCTATGATCTGGTTCTGCAGCTGCTGGTCATCACGACACTGGGCGGCCACATTCTTCGCCTTGATCACGAGTGCGGCCGTGGTGTTAGCGACAGCCTTCGCGAGTGACAGCAGGATGTCCTGTATATACAAATATATTAACAATAAGTTATGAATATAAAATGATTATCGCAATGCTTTGTGTATTTTTTCTGGGTTGTTAACGCGACAGTGCGAGACTGAATAAAGGTGAAAAGCATGGGAGACGAAACTCTTGTCCTCCACGCGTCTCCCCATGTTATTCCTAAAATTTCCTAGGAAAAGAGAGAAGAGAAGATAATAACACAGAAGTAGAGAAAATCGCGGCTTCTTTCTCTACTTGTGTGTTATTCTCTTCCCTTCTCTCTTTTCGTTTCTGTAAACTAGAGAGAGAGAGGGAGGCAGAGATAGGGAGAGAGGGAGAGGGGGAGAGTGAGATAGGTTGAGAAAGGGAGGGAGAGAGAGGAATTATTTGACACTTTTTTTATACCCTACTATAGTACTATATAGTCTCAAACCAGAATTTTTACTTACCGACAAAAATACTTTCTACAACGTAAGCTAACTCTAACTCCATTCAACTGCTAAACAGCTTTTTAAATCCGGTTGAAAGATGAGATATGGCAGTGAAATCACAAGTCGTCAGGTTCAGCATGCTTGGGCTCAGAGGGGGGAAGTAATCTAAATATTATGTAACTAGATTTTGCACGCGGCTTCGCTCGCAACTTCATTACTGGCTGCTGGATGGCGCTGAAGAAGCAATTTTTATTTTTTATATTTTGTTTTTTTTTTATATATTTTTTTATTAATAAGTATCCTAGGTTCATTCTAATACCTAAAAGAACATGTGTACAAAATTTCCTGATAATCGATTCAGTAGTTTTTGCGTGAAAAAGTAACAAACATCCAATATTGACATGATTGGAAACAAAAACTCGAATCAATTTAGATAAAAAAAACCTTTTTTTCTAGCCCTGATCCACAACATTACTTACTTTGTTGATATTCCGATTTATTTGTTAAAATTGAGACAGCGCCATCTAGTATTCCTTATCGAAAACTATTACGGCCAATGTTTTTCTTTCATACAAGTTTGTGTAACATTGTGTGTATCGTCAGGTTGTTCGTTTTAGATAGATGGTTTATGTTCTTGTATTTTGGCTTACATGTCTGTCCTAATGGCCTATGAATGTGGATGGTTATAAAGGCAGAGGAAGGCCGAAAAAGAGATGGATGGACTGTGTGAAAGATGATATGGTAAGAAAGGGAGTAAATAACGCGATGACTGCGAGCAGGGATGAATGGAAGAGAAAAACATATTACGACGACCACAAATAAATGGGATAAGGAAGAAGCAGATGATGTCTGTCCTAATAGCCTTCCGTAACACCCCAACTACAATACCATAAGACACCAGTTTCAATTTCTCGCTACAACATTTATAGTATTGTTTGATATATTTGAATAATATTAATTGACACATAACGAAAATAATTGTTATATATCTACCTATATTAGATATATAATGTAATTTTTAAATGTAAATTAATTCTATTGTATCATTCTAATTCGTCATATTGTATAAATCGACGACCTCGGTGGTCTAGCGGTCTAGCACACCGCTTTACGACCGATGGTCGCGGGTTCGATTCCTCGCACGGCACAAACATTAGTATTCATGAGTATGATTGTTTGTATCGGTCTGGGTGTTTTCTATGTATAATATGTATTTACAAAAAAGAAATGTATTTGTATCAGTTATCTAGTACCCATAACACAAGGTTTAACTAGCTTAACTTGGGTCTGGATGGCGCTGTGTGACTTGTCCTGAGATTATTATTATATATATAATTTGTATATTATTAAAATGTTGCTAAAACAAGGCGAAATATGTGGACAATTTTATTAATACTGACATTCTTTTAATATTTTCAAAGACAGCTTTCCAGATTTTAGAATGAGCGGTAGATTAAAAAAATGTGATGACTATTCTAAAGTGCTTCAATGTAAGTTTATTTGAATAAGTGATTTTCTATTCTATTCTATTCTATTTATACAATATTTTATGCAAATAAATACATTTCATTTAAAAAATGTCGCCAAATATCGAAATAGAAATAATCTTTATTCAAATAAACTTAATATAAGCACTTTTGAACAGTCAAGTTTTTTGATTCTACCGCTCATTCGGAATGCAGACTCATCACATGATCATCAGAATGATCAAGAAACTTGTGTATCAAAAATATTCCCTCAAAATAAAATTTATTTACACTGCATAAGACTTCTTCTTTTTGAATCTATGCTATTCTTCGTTTTTTTTAATATTAACAAGCTGTTTTATCTATGGTAAAGCGATGTGCATTAGAGTTTTATGGTTGACTTTATATCAAGTGTATTGAAACACGTGGTACGTTATACGTGTGTATTTAACACACTCGGATCTATTACGAACTCGGCTTCAGCTCGGACTGAAACTCCGCCGCGTGTGTTATAAGCAGGGGCGTAGCTACCGCCATATATGTATCTGCCGTATCAATTATACAGGGCCCCCAACGTGAGTAAGCAAAAATTAACTTTTTTTTTTTATTTCACAAATGACAAAAGTAATAAAAAGCAATTTCCCTATTTCCGCATCAGCTATAAATGAATTAATAAATCATTTTGCCGAAAAATCGGCAAGCAGAGTGTATATTTAATTTTAATTGTAAAAGTTTTGAAAAAAGTAACAGATAAATAATTATGATGATCTGTTAGAGGAACATACTGTTTTTCATTTCATTTTATATTTCTTTTAATTCTATGCATTGTTCCTAAAACAATTTTACACGATCTGTGAGAGGAACAATAAAGTGTTATCATTTCATTTCATTTCATATATTTTTTAACTCTATGTATTTTTTTTTTCGTCATAAATTGTTACCAATCGTAAGGGCCCATAATTTTTATCCTAGTACCGCCGAGGCCGCCACGATTCTGGTTATAACCATGGTAAAGCACTTATATTAAAACTAGCTACAGCTGCTTCGCCCGGGTGTACATGTATTATACATATAAACCTTCCTCTTGAATCACTATCTATTTAAAACACCGCTTCAAAATCCATTGCGTAGTTTTAAAGATTTAAGCATACATAGGGACGGACAGACGGCGACAGCGACTTTGTTTAACCTACGTAATGATTAGGGTATATTAGTAATGAGTTACCTTTGTCACTACATTTACTTCGGACAGTTAGTGGCAAATAAAACCCAAAGTTCGGCGAAAGCAAATGTATTAACAAAAATAACTTATTTCTGATTTAGTATACATATATAGGTAAATAATACGATTAAGTGGCAGAGTTCAGTCAGAAGAGAGTTTCTTTTCAACGAGTTTACAAAACTAATTTAAGATTTAAAACTATTATTTCTTTTTTTATTATTATGCACCTTTAATACAATAAAGTGTTAAAGCAAAAATTATTAATTTACAGAAATAGACTCTAAAGTTTAATAATTTTAAAGTCCACTTCCAATAAAATGTTTTTTATGTACGACCTGAGCTACGGTATTGATTTCAATCAATATATCGCATCTTGAAATAAAAAAAGCATTAACTCAGAAATTACTCTTAAACTGAATTCGACTTTAATGTCTATTAATTTAAAGTCTATTTTAAAAAAATATTTATTTTTAGTTAATGCATTGTTGTATTAACCATGTTAGGTATATGAATATATATTACATTACACATTGTTCTTATTTCAAAAACCAGATCCTATCCTATCAATAAAGCATTAACTCAGAAATTACTCTTAAACGGAATTCGACTTTAAAGTCTATTAATTTTAAAGTCTATTTTCACAAAATATTATTTTTAGTCAATTCATTATTGTATTAACCATACGAAATGAATATATATTATACTGCAGATTGTTCCTATTGTAAACCACATCCACAATCCTAAGATATTTATTCTGAAGATGATGGTATGTTTATTTCAACTATAAGTTTGTTTCTTTTTTCAAAACAGAAATTACTCTTACTCTATTACTCCAATAATTTTTTTAATTTCTAATTTATTAACTCCACCAACTGAACACTGTCTCTTAACATACAGACAGAATACTCGGTCTGTTTTGTAAAAAAAACGCAAGTCTTTCATCTGAACAACCACTGGTATAACAGAAACAAACTTAACAACATAACAATCATTGTAAAGTTATGAAATGCGGATATCCATTTTGATTTTGCAATAAAAAAAATATATAGTAAAATTTCTAACAATGAAATAGGCATTTTTTATATTTTCAATTTAAATTCATATACTTTATTTGTGAAGTACAAGTTCCAAAGCTCTTAGAAGATGTAAGTTTCGCTGTATTCTGCAATTACGCGTAAATATATTTCAATATTTATATAGCGACATTTTTGTAACAAGATGGATACCCGTATTTTCATATAAAACAATATAATTATTATAAAAAAAAAACAATGTTGAAAATGATAAAGTTAAATCTGTTAACAAAAGTTAGAGGTAATTAACATGAATAAAAACAATATGTTTACAGAATTAATTAATAAAGAAAATGAACCCAAAACCAAAATTAATGTAAATTATAAACTATTTAAATCATATGTAACTATAAGGTAGCTGTCATCAAATCATATGTAAACTATAAGGCAGCTGTCATCAAATCATATGTAAACTATAAGGCAGCTGTCATCAAATCATATGTAAACTATAAGGCAGCTGTCATCAAATCATATGTAACTATAAGGTAGCTGTCATCAAATCATATGTAACTATAAGGCAGCTGTCATCTAATCATATGTAACTATAAGGTAGCTGTCATCAATTAATATGTAACTATAAGGCAGCTGTCATCAAATCATTGTAAACTATAAGGCAGCTGTCATCAAATCATATGTAACTATAAGGTAGCTGTCATCAAATCATATGTAAGTATAAGGTAGCTGTCATCAAATCATATGTAACTATAAGGTAGCTGTCATCAAATCATATGTAAGTATAAGGTAGCTGTCATCAAATCATATGTAACTATAAGGCAGCTGTTATCTAATCATATGTAACTATAAGGCAGCTGTCATCAAATCATA